GTGGGGATTCTCATTAGGCAGGTTTTACAAGTAACAGTGGGGATTGTCATTAGGCAGGTTTTACAAGTAACTGTGGGGATTGTCGTTAGGTAGGTCTTACAAGTAACAGTGGGGATTCTCATTAGGCAGGTCTTACAAGTAACTGTGGGGATTGTCATTAGGCAGGTTTTACAAGTAACAGTGGGGATTGTCGTTAGGTAGGTCTTACATGTAACTGTGGGGATTCTCATTAGGCAGGTTTTACAAGTAACAGTGGGGATTGTCATTAGGCAGGTTTTACAAGTAACAGTGGGGATTGTCATTAGGCAGGTTTTACAAGTAACTGTGGGGATTGCCATTAGGCAGGTCTTACAAGTAACAGTGGGGATTGTCACGGTTTGGTGTTTTAGGTTTACCACACATTCCATGAAGAGGTAGAAAACTACAGACAACACTGGTGGCGGTGTACTGGCCCGTGTCGGGAGCGAAAACCTTACTTTGGGTACGTGAAACGTGCCATGAACCGTGCTCCATCTGAAAGAGACACCTGGTGGAAGGACCATAAGAACAGCTGTAACGGCATTTACGAGAAAGTCAAGGAACCAGAGGGGTATGGGGAAAAAAAGAAAACCTCCGAAAAGTCGGAAAGCACCGACATCAAGAAACGGGAAAAAGTCAAAGGTGTGTATACAATATATAGTTCTAGTTCTACCATATAGTGACCATATATACTGTAGGCCTGCATGTTTTTGACACAGGTGAGACTTTTGCTCTCTATCACTAAGTCAAATTTATCATCAAATATTAATAAAAAGCTTAATGAAAACAGTATGTATTTCCTCTGTAAAGGGTAAAAGAAATACTAGACAAATATAAAGGTTTTATCGTGATAAGACAAATATATAGGTTTTATCTGTGATGACAAATATATAGGTTTTATCATGATGAAGACAAATATATAGGTTTTATCTGTGATGAAGACAAATATAAAGGTTTTATCTGTGAAGACAAATATATAGGTTTTATCTGTGATGAAGACAAATATATATAAAGGTTTTATCTGTGATGAAGACAAATATATAGGTTTTATCTGTGGTGAAGACAAATATAAAGGTTTTATCCTGATGAAGACAAATATATAGGTTTTATCTGTGATGGGAGAATAGTTCACCTGGCTAAGTGGCTAAGACAGTATATGTTTAGTTCATCACGTCTGCGTAAGGAAGGGATTGCCAGGAAATTAGTCCATATATAAAATGTATTAAGTTTCTTGTTGTACTTATCTCAAATTTGGTTGTCAATGTAACCTCACAACATCTTTTTATGTAATAGATTAAGTAATGTTGTCCTGTTGATGACTATTGATTCAAAAACTAATTGTTTATGTTTAAGAAATCAACAAAAATATGGATATCCGTCTGTTTGCTGGAAAAGGAAATGTGTTGAGTGCTGGCCGAGGGAAGGATAACTCTGTAAATATTGTTGATAAAAAACTGTCTGCTATAGGGACGAGTCATGACAGGGTCCAGAAGACATTAACAGGAGGCCTAGATAGAAGTAGTTCTAAGATAGTCCCAACTGTGAAAGGTGGAAATAAATCTAATGTAACATCAACAGTAACGAGCGGGAAAAAATCTTCAGCAACATCAACAGTAACGAGCAGGGGAAAATCTTCAGCAACATCAACAGTAACGAGCAGGGGAAAATCTTCAGCAACGCCAACAGTAACAAGCGGGAAAAAATCTTCAACAATTACGGGTGAAAAGAACACTGGTAACCAACCTATAGCTAAATCACTAGTAAATGGCATTCTTTTTAAGAAAGTTTCTGTGCATAATGGAGTAACAGGTTCAAGTTCACAAGACCTTTCAGGGTCAAGGTCACCAGGTCATGTATCTGCACAATCTGAATACCATGACAATCATATAGTGGAGGCTGGTCATATATCAATACTGAATTCTGATGAGGAGGATTCTTCTGAGATCTTTAAACCGGCACCCACAAAACTTGTCCAACCTGGTGGAGCCAGCAATGAGCTGACCAGTGGTCAAGGGGATGTGAGATCTAAACTAAGAGATGTGTGGGCTAATAGATTCAATTCGGCATCCAGTGTAACAGGTTTGCCTGCTCTCAGCAGACCGAAGAAAAGGACACAAGATTTTGAACCCAACTCTTCACTAAACCCTAGTGTGGCCAAACGATGTAAAGGTCACCTAGACGTTGAGCACGGTAGAGATAACATCTTCATTACCACGAATGGTGATCAAGACTTACCATCTATCAGTAGACCCGCAAGTAAATCACTGATATCTGGTTCTCAAGATTGTTTTAATTCCAGAACCAATGTGACTGATGTAAATAGTCAAAACTCAACAATTTCAGGAAGTAAAAAGACAGCATTGTCAAGTAGTCAAATGACAAATAATATACACTGTGAACACAAAAATACTTCAGGTAGTCAAAAGATAAGTATTCCAGGTAAAAAGAAACCTTTTTCAGGTAGTCAGAAGGCAATTATTGACAGTAGTCAGAACACTGTAAGTGGTATGTTCAGTAAAATGAAATCACCAGGAAAAGACAAATTGGATGGCAATAATGACCGGATTATCTCCCTTGATGCATCTTCTACCTTCCATGAATGTCCAGTTTGTACAAAGCGTGTGCTTGAGACAGAGATGAATCATCATTTGGATTTGTGTCTGCTGGGATAATTATATATGTGATGTATTATAAACTTAAGTCTTTCAGTTCTTGTTTTCATGGTGCTAGTACACATCTACCTGAGGCTACGGCCAGCCTTCTGTTGAGGACATTTATACAATGTGTTTGATGCAATCTTTATGTTCCTGATTTTATATAAATTTCAACTTCATTTCTTAATGTTAGTTATATATTTAGACCACCTTATGTCTGTCTGGAGAGAATAGAATTACAGATATTGACTAGTTGTTTGAATAGAATAGCTTGTTACAGGACTTCCAGTTGTAGACTCGTAACCGAAGTTTGTAGTGTTCTAGCCCCTTTCTTTTAGATTTAAATCCTCTGTTTATAGACCTAAAGCCCTGTTGATAGTTGATCATGTGTTAGTAAAAACACAGGGGCCTGGTAATATATCATCAAGTGTACATGTTCATCCTTCAGTTTGATATATTTAGTCCAGATGCAGGGGCCTGTCAATCTTTTATTATGTGTTCCTCCTTCATTTAGATATATGCAAGTCATCCAGACACGGGGGCCTGTCAATCTATTATCATGAGTTCTTTCTGAAATTACTTTAATTTTGATCTTGAGAAATAGCATCCTCTCAATCACATAGTCAAGTATTCAGAAACAAAAAATACAGGAAATTTCATAAAATACAAATGAAAATAAAGTGATTTATATAGTACTTTTGTTGATAAATGAAAGTCTGGTCATCATTCAGATATATATTACTCTGCATTGCTAGGCTGTTGGTAGCTAGCTGTTAGGAATCGATGATGTCTTGCCTTAAAGTCCAAATCTTGACAGAAAGAATTGAATGGCTTCCTAACGTAAATGACTTTTTGTATCATTATTTTAAAAAGTTAAATAATAATTGTTATCAAATGTCCTTTGTTTTCTTTTCAATTCGTAAAAATATGACGATATATATATATACATGTGTCATACCTGGTACAGTATTGTTACCAAAGTTCGCAGATCCAGAATATTTATTGGAACTATTTTATTCATGTTCAGTGGATTCTACATGGAGAATAAGCTTATTATTTTGTTCCTGTAAAACCAAAATGGTTGCCATGTAATGCCATATTATCCAAATTCCGAAATCCATACTCCTTAAGCTTCTGCTCAGTGATCATGGAGGATAAACAGTCACACTACAGCAGGAGTAAAGGGAATCACGAATATCATTTGATAATTGAACTGAGCATGGTAAAATAATAAATCATTGATGTTTTTACTTTTGTGAACAGAATTCCTTGCAATTGAGTAATATAACAGCAACAGTTTTATCTGGTCAGTGCATCTTACTGCTCAACTCCTGATCTGTCAGGAGAAAGAGATATACAACGGCCAGACTGGGACCTTCCGAACTGTCGAGAACGCTCTACCAATTGAGCTACCTGGTCGCCTAGAAGCTCAATCTGGGCGTGGAAATCGACCCAGTCCAGTCCTACTACACTTCTAATGTCTAAAAGGTTTTGTCCATGACTTTGAGATTACAGTTGATTACTATGTATTACCTAGGTTACAGTTAAGGTCTGAACTCCAAAGAGCTGATTGTTTTAACAGACCAGGTGTTTATTGCTGAAAAATCCCTGAGCTGTTGCAAAAATTTTATGCAAATATGAACCAAAAAATTCTAGAAGAATGACTCAACATCTCTTGAGTCATAAATCATAAAACAAACACATTATTTTAGTTTCATGACATTTAATTCTATTCAGTTAATTGGTATTAACTGTGGTGGTTCATGTAATAAATTATTGCAAAACAATTATAATCTTTCAGGAAATATTTCCACTGATAGCCACATGGAACATTTCTTAGTGTACATGATTTAATGTAATTCAAGCATCTTGTTAACAATGATTTCACAATGTGTATCAAGCATCTGTTTAACATTGATCTGATAATGTTTTCAAGCATCTTGTTAACAGTGTACTATAAGTTAATGACTATGTTACAAAAATATACAAGCAAAAAATCTTCAATGTAAAAAAGGCAGGATTGATGTAAAGATGTTCTTCACATTTAAATTGATATAATAGTTTATATATATATAACAATGTAACATCATATATATATGTATGCTGATAACTTATAAAAGACTGCACAACTTCATTAGGGGTTGGAGTGCATGAAGTTGGGGGAAGGGTGAAGTCAGGTGTTTGGGGAGTGTTTTAAAGTGAAGTCAGGGGTTAAAGTGAAGCTGAGTGTCTTTGAAAATAAAAAGCCAACTTATTTTCAAATTTAAATGCAAGATTTAGCTATGTTACAACAGCCATTTGAATACATAAAATATGGTTGTAATACTTCCAACTTTCCTGCCTCAAAAGAAAGAAAACCTCATTCCTCCCAATTAGATTATTCCAAGAAATGTCTAAGGTGCTTTGACAATATTATTATCAGTAACGTAGCTATAGTAAAGGGAGGTAATTGAGACGGACTGGACGGACGGATTGATCTTGTTCTGTTTGTGAGGGATACCAGTACAAAGCTCATTTCTGTAAGAGAACAGGGGTGAATTAACATGTTATAGACATTCTTTATACACAAGTTTGGTCAGTAACAAGTTTTTTGGATGGAATGTTGTAAGTATAATTTTCTGTTAAAACTCTTGAAAGAGTTTGAGAATTTGGTGACTGTAAATGCAACTAAGCTTTTATTTTCATTTAAATAGGACTTTGTTTTTCACTTTTCTTTTTCATGAAATAAAAGATAACATCTATATGATCACCAATTAAAATTTAAAATTAAGAAGCCAGCTTCAGATTTATCAGCAAGGATAGATTTTTAATCTATGCAAAATATAAATAAACATACACAGAAAAGAACAGCAAGTGATTTTTTGAATCTATATTCAGAAATCACTACTGGGTAGTGCTCTATTCATAAAAACATCAATTTCATTCTTGAAACATTTATACTAAATCATGAAAAACTGCATCATCAACGTAAGGAGCTTTACAAAACTACGATTGTGACTGAAAGTAGGGCCAGGTGACTATCGAAAACACAGGTATGCTGTTCTTCCCAGGTATGTACAGGTAGCACACAGGTGTGAGGGTGTAGATCACAGGTCAGGCTGATATTGAACAGGTCAGCAAATTACAATTGTACAGGTAAATCAAGGCACATTTCAATATCAGCTTTTTATCAATTCAATTTTGAATATAACAACACATCAGTCTGCCTAAACTATATGGACACCTGTATACACTGGACAGGTTAGTGATCGGCCTATTGGTAAACCTTTCTAGATGGACACCTAGTGATAAACCTTGCTAAACTGACTGAAAAAAATGCCTAAACTGAACCCTTGAGTAACTGACTACTGGAAAACCTGTCTAAACAAATCACTTTAGTGAGCAGACTCAATAAACCTGTCTAAATGGACACCTTATAATGATAAACCTTGCTAAACTGACTGAAAAATTTCCTACATTGAACCCTTAAGTAACTGACTACTTGAAAACCTGTCTAAACAAAACCTGTCTAAACAATCACTTTAGTAATCGGACTATTGGTAAACCTGTCTACACTGACCAGTATGGTGATCTGTCTGAAGACCACCGTCATAAAACAGAAAACCACCAGATTGACCTTTGACCTTTGAGGCGTTGGTTGAAATTGAGGTACAGGACAAGACTATAGAAAATGTACACTAAGCCCTCACTGTAAATTGAATATTCATGGGTCCCAGGGGGAGGAAAGTGGGTTCCCTGGGTAGGGGATTATATGGGAGTCCCTGGGCTGGATTGCTTAAGGGGTCTTGGGGATGTAACAGATGAATAACTCTGAAAATGGGACTATACAAAAGATGGAATGGCTTGTAGTGTAAACACATAGACTTTACAAAATAATGTACGTAACTATAGATTTGTACAAATTACAAAATACTTTCATATCACAACAAAATTCATCACATATATACCCAAACTAAATGGAGACGGCTCAATACAGACGATACCAACGTAACTTTCACAGAGAGAGCCGACTCCTAGTGCTTGGGGAGACAGCTAAAAACGTAGAAGCTTTACTAAACCTTTGGTTGTAGGACGGACAAAATGGCTCGCTGTAAGATAAGTGCATAAGACAATTGTTTTTCAAAGATCATTTTATAAATATTACAAAAGTACTACATTTATAAGTTAACATACAAACTCAAGGCTAACCTTGGTAACACATAACAATCTCATTAGCATGGTAACCATGGTAACATTATGACAGACACATTGTTTACATTGACTGGCAAGGTCTTTAGTCGGGAATGACATCCATTGGTTTGGTGGTACATTCGTACACAGAACATTCGGAGGTTATTTTAATTTAAGCGCTCCTGCATCGTGACCTGTCCAGCTCTCCCTGAATGATGTACTATAGCAATGTTTACGGGACAAATGAGAACTTTTTGGTAACGACAGTTAAGTTTTATTTTAAAGCTTTCTGCAATTCCAGACTTGAAAAATAAACCCACTGGAATGTTCTTACATAGGTAAATAATACATAATGTAAGGGAGAAGGTTTCTATAATTAATAAACTTTAAAAAAACATGGCATGTACATCAGGCGGATTAAACAAAAACTTTGTAGTATGTGTGAATAATATCACATTTGATCATTTGAATACCAGTATCTATGAATTTTGGTTTCAGTTTTTCTAATTATAAAAGTATTGCCAATTAAAATTTCCATGAGCTAAACAAATGAATCCAGATTAAAACAACTCCAATGTAAATTTGTTGGAAATATTATCGTATAAATGCCACAAATATCAACAAATCAGACTTGACAACTTGATAAAGGAAAAATTGGTAAAAAAATCTGTTCCAGGCCAGCAGCATACTAATAGACTGCTTTCTTATTAATTTAAAATTACTGACAGTGATTTTCTCTTCAGAGTGAATCTCTTAATAAATCATGGTTAGATTGCATTTTCTCTTGCTTAAAGAAACAATGATAATGAGAAATTGGTGGCCACAAAAATCTGCTTTAAATTACTAGTGCCATTACAGTGTGGTTAAAGAGACAATTTGTATATCGTAAAACCTTATCAGAGCGAACACTTCAGTTTTCGAAAAATATATTTTCAATAATCGAAAGATTGCTTAAACAAGAACCATATCCGAAGGAAATTCTGCTTTTCAAAATAATATAACATTACCAGCTTAATATAAAATTTAGAAAGTAACTTCTACACATGTTTTAATGCCCACTGTAAAATACATGAGTTTGGTTAAGCATTTATATAAATACTGACTTTGGTCAAAGTAAGAAAACATTTGAATATGGTAAGCAATCAATTTTTTTTTTATCTAAAAACTTGTTTTCTTCATGATTTTTTTTATTTAGACATAATAGTTGGTGTCTCTGATAACATCTTAACCTCAATATTGATTCAATGATGAACTTTTTTGAATTAAATGCAGTCAACAATGTACAGTCACTAAATTAAATGCCACAAGAGGATTTTACATACATAGTAATCAAGTACTGTAAGGATACAGATCAAGTGTTGTAATGACACAGATTAAGTGTTGTGATATGACACAGATCAGCTGTCAAGATGGCTGCCCAGAGACAAAGTGTTTGTAAAAATATTGCTTTTGAAGACGATGACAATGTGACTGAATCTCCAATCAAAATGGCTGCCATAATTTAAAACTTAAACTATTTGAAAAAGTTAATTCAAGAGAGACTGGATAAGGCGGAGTCTTATGTTAACAGTGCATCGTTTACATAACAGGGGAGGTAAGCATAAGGTAAGGTGAAGGGTTAGACAACAGCCAATCAGATTCAAGCTCACACTCTTTCATATGTACATGGTAACAAACTTTAACCAATCTCGAAAAGTTGTGTGTACAAGATTTTTATGACATGCGGTCAAATGACACAAAGCTGAGCAATTCCTGAACAAGTGAACATGTGGCTGTGAATCTGATTGGCCGACAACATGCTTGTGGACAGGTGCGGGTTGATCTGACAACATGACCTTTGTACATCACATAAAGGTCAAGGACAAATTGCAATGAAGGTCAAGGCCAATGGGTCAAAAACAAACAGGTTAGTTTCCTGAACATTCCACATTTAATGCCCTTGGATTCGCCTCCTGGCGAACAGTCGGCCTCACAGTCTTGGACACAAAAGTACACCTGATACTAAATAGCCTGTTCTGCCTCTGGCAAAGGGAGACAACTACACCGTTCCACATGCATAGGATTAAAATGTCCACCTATCACCGAGCTTCCCTAGTCCTGTTAAAAGAGAAAATGGTTATCATTAAGGTATCAGAAGACCATTGTACAGGAATTGGTCATTTCTGAGCTTCTTTAGTAAAAATAAATAAAATTTTGAAGAATTTGTTAATGTAAATTTTCATTCTAATGACAGGTCTAAAATGTCCTTAGGCATCAAATATTATACAGTTGTTATATTTTGTAATGACAGAAACAAAGCAGAAAGAGGGAAATTCATGCTTTCATACATACTGAGTAAAGTGGAACCTCATTAGTCAGAACTAGGATAATTTGAAACCTTGCTTTCCTTACATTTTATATCCAGGAGTTGCGTAGCGATGTATTTTCCTGTTCCAAAACAAACGCTTCCTTCAAGATTTTTTCACAACACCAATTCATCAGGTGAAATGAGGTTCTACTTTATATATACTTACAGTGCATCTTGGGCCACGCCATACAAAAGGTTGTAAGCATTAGTGTGTTATGTGCTAAATTCAAATGCATTTGATACAAAAAAACATTTTTAACGAAGTAACAAGTTCTTTAAAAAAAATTATGAATATACTGTTATAATATTTATAAATCGTATTTAACTAAGATGACTCTATGCCAATGTAAAGGGATTATGAGAGACGTTAGAAAGCGTCTACGATGAGGTAGATGTGACAGGACTGTGGTTTAGGTCACACACAGCCATACTCGTACCATAGTGCGTTTTTGTTAGGTTCTGTGGCATTCTCCTCAGCTTTCATTGGTCGTGGGGCCGCTGATGTACTCGAGGGTGAGGACTTCACCCCGGGGTTCACTGTCCGTGACATGCCCCCCATTGGCAAAGTTTTATTGATAGGGCCGTTTGACGAGTTGGCACCCGAGGACTGATAAGGTTGGGCAGACATACGCCCAGAAGGCATCTGACCCGGTTCTCGTACAAGACTGACACGTGCTATCACTTCGCGATTCCTCCGTGGGGGAGGCACTGGCGGCGTCCGACCTTTCTGTGGCTGTGAGTAAATTGGCCCCTGGTCCTGTCTCTGACTCTGCTGTGCCTGTTGCTGTTGAGCCTGCATTTGCATTTGGTTAAAAATGTTTGGAGGAACAGACTTAGGTCTTTCTATTCTCTGCACACGTGCATAATGATGCTCTTGGCTTCCTTCGATTGGTCCGTTACTGTGAACACTAGATTTTTCCGGAGAATAATCCACTGAATTTCTTGTCCGGTTCTCCCCTACACCTGAACTGTTATTTTGGAATGTATTTTGTTCATGGTAAGTATTCGGCCGTGAACCCGGACTTTGCACATGTCTGATAGCGTCTCTGGTGGGAACTGGTCTCACAGGACCATTATGTGAATATTGCTGAGGACTGGGCTGGCCATCCATAGGGGGCTGTCTACTCCTTACCATTCCTGCCTGGCTAGGATGAGGAGGGGCCCTGTTTGGCCCTTGGGCCTGGATTTGGTACCCTCGAGGGGTGGGGGGTTTGTTTGCCAAATGCTGCTGAGATGACTGGTAGTTATAACTGTCCTTTGGAGAATATGCACTATTGTTTTTGGACATATCACTGAAGTTTGAGGCATTAGAAATGACAGAGTTATTATGTGAGGATGAAGATTGACTGAGAGATGTGAGTCTGTCGAGTCTGTCAGTGGCCGCCTCTGACGGGGTGGGGGGCAGCTCTCTGTTTTGATTGGATGATCGATTAGCTGGTGAGTTTCCTGATTGGCCGGGGGATGATAACATAGAATACTGAAGAGTTCTTGTGGCCGTGGACGGTGTTGAACCCAGCGTGTTTCTCCTGAAGTCATGTGGCTGTTGTTGCCGTGGAAATGGAGAAAATTGATTCAGTTCCTCAAGTGAGTTACTTTGATGGCTGCCATTGTTGTACTGTGCGGGTGTAGATGTCTCGGGAAGCTTTACGTGTGGAGGGGTTGCCTGTCCGTAACTTTCGGGTCGGCTCTCCGGACCACTCCCACTGCTGCCTGTGGAGATGCGAGACATACGTGACAAGTTTAGATCTGGGTGCGAGACAGCAGCCACGTCAGGGATCGAGTGCATTGAACGGTTGTTGGTAACAGGTGGCGGTGGTGCCTGCCGCTTCTGTCGGAAACTGTTATCTGAATTCTCGCTACTCTTCGACTCAATGTCATCCTTGTTCTTGTTGAAATCTATTGACTTACTCTGAAACATGACATGGGAAGCTGATCAGTATAACATTGTTACAGAACTAGTGTGGATTTATAATCCCCAGCTTTAAGGTAATGATATACATTGACAAATCAGATTTAAGCAGCCCTGTTATACTTACATAAAAATCTTATTATAGATCATCATTACAAATTAATCAACCATGCTTCAACCCTTTCACCACTATAGACCATAATGGACTAATCCAGATCTGTGTATGGTAGTCTACTAAAGTTACCTAGGGGTGAAAGGGTTAAGCACATTTAAACTCTAGATATTTATTGCGCAGAAAATATCTACTGATTACATTCCAGTAACTTCATTACATATGAATAACAAGAGGCCCAGAGGGCCTGTATTGCTCACCAGTTTCTTTTTTTTACATGAAACTGACATATAGGTAACTTCAGACTAAATTTGGTAACTAGAACACAAGACATTTAAACATCTCTTAAACAGTTCATAAGATATTGTTGTTTAAAAATGTTCATTTTAAAGCTTTTAACCCACGTTGACCTTTGACTTCGGCTAGCACTTAAAGTTGACCTTTGACCTCATTACTGGGATTAAGAAAAAGATTTGCACTGCTGGTCTTCATATAACACACCCAAGTATCATGACTCTAGTTCAAATGGTTCTTAGGATATTGTTTGTAGTTTTTACCATATTTGACCCCTGTGACATAAAAAGTAGGTCAAGGTCATTTTATTAATGAAGAAACTTTCTAGTACCTTATCCCAGGTACCTACTGGCCAAATATCATGACCCTTTGGTCCTCCAGTTCTTAAGTAGAAGTCGTTCAAAAGAAAAAGTTGATGGATGGACGACAGTCGCCGCAGTACAGTGGCATAAGCTCACATGGCCCTTTGGGCCAGATGGGCTAAAAATACAGGAATAATATTGGCAGACCAACTCTGCTTTAGTAATCCTAGAATACATCTACGGAACAAATTTAGTTGTAATTGGACAACAAGGGAAGCTATCATACAGAAACCAATCAATCAATCAGAATGTAGAGACCTATTTATATATTGGCTTAAATTTCTGACAGTCAAATTGGGACTGGAAATGACTTCTTTCACTTTTGAATATATATTGATGAAACTTAAGATAGATGTAGCCTGACTGCTCGTTTTGTCTGGTCCTCCAGACCAGGCTCTTCCCAAGTCTACCGGTTCCATCTGACCCATGATTCTGGATCACTGTTGTATGTAACCTTACCACCCAATCGTGCAGCAGTTGTGGTGTCACAATAGGCTAGATGGAAAATAACATCCTCTACTTCGATTGCAACTTTCTTTGTAAAGCAGGCAGGTTATAAATCTTTCACAAGGAATGAAGTACAGATAAGGTCATTCAAACCCTCTGGATGAAATACTGAAGAAAACTCTTGGTTCACCTCAGGGTTTTTTTCTGATATTTCATTCCTGAGGTTTGAATCACCTAATCTACGCTTCTCCCAGGGAAAGATTATATTATTATCCATGTTACATTCCTCATAGAAACCTCCCTCAATACCTTGCCATCCTCGTTCAAATCCCCTAGAAACTCCTCCAGTGTCAGCATGTCGTTGCCACCCTCCGCTGTGCTTGCTGAACGGAATCCACCATCGTCATCCTCGGAGAAACTGGTTGGTTTACCCAGGCCTATTAATACAAAAACAAATACTGTAGTCAAGAGTTAAGATTTTTATGCTGAGAATTTATCTGTACTATCAATTAATCCTGATACCCATTCCAATCACCCGATTTATCCAGCTCTGACATCTTATAATAGCTGAATCTAAATACAACAATACCGCAAAATGATTAACACAAAACACACAAAAGGCAATAGTAACTTAGCTTATACTCAAACACCCATGAGATTAGTATTCCTCTCGACTCTATTAACTAAATCATTATTTAAAAGTCCAAATGCTTAACTTTCAATCATCGGACTTTTCTAAACTTTAAGCAGTTAGTAATAAACAAATCTGTTTTCTTCTACAAATTCCAAGACCGGGAAGTAAGTTTTCTCTAAAATTAATTGATTTAATGCAAATACTCAACTACTGTAAAACACAATTTTGAGTAAACAAATCAACAAATCAACTACTTCCATGCATTTTAAATGAACAATAATATGTCCGTGTATTACGTGGCCTCCATGCTATAAACCGTCAGGCTTTTAGTCTATCATTAGTTAGTAACAACTTGGTGGGTATGTTACTGTCAGGCTTTTAGTCTATCATTAGTTAGTAACAACTTGTTGGGTATGTTACTGTCAGGCTTTTAGTCTATCTTTAGTTAGTAACAACTTGGTGGGTATGTTAGTGTCAGGCTTTTAGTCTATCATTAGTTAGTAATAACTTGATGGGTATGTTACTGTCAGGCTTTTAGTCAATCATAAGTTAGTTACAACTTGATGGGTATGTTACTGTCAGGCCTTTAGTCTATCATTAGTTAGTAACAACTTGATGTGCATGTTACTGTCAGGCTTTTAGTCTATCATTAGTTAGTAACAACTTGATGTGTATGTTACTGTCAGGCTTTTAGTCTATCATTAGTTAGTAATAACTTGATGGGTATGTTACTGTCAGGCTTTTAGTCTATCATTAGTTAGTAACAACTTGATTGGTATGTTACTGTCAGACTTTTAGTCAATCATTAGTTAGTTACAACTTGATGGGTATGTTACTGTCAGGCTTTTAGTCTATCATTAGTTAGTAACAACTTGATGGGTATGTTACTGTCAGGCTTTTAGTCTATCATTAGTTAGTAACAACTTGATGGGTATGTTACTGTCAGGCTTTTAGTCTATCATTAGTTAGTAACAACTTGATGGGTATGTTACTGTCAGGCTTTTAGTCTATCATTAGTTAGTAACAACTTGATGGGTATGTTACTGTCAGGCTTTTAGTCTATCATTAGTTAGTAACAACTTGATGGGTATGTTACTGTCAGGCTTTTAGTCTATCATTAGTTAGTAACAACTTGGTGGGTATGTTACTGTCAGGCTTTTAGTCTATCATTAGTTAGTAACAACTTGATGGGTATGTTACTGTCAGGCTTTTAGTCTATCATTAGTTAGTAACAACTTGATGGGTATGTTACTGTCAGGCTTTTAGTCTATCATTAGTTAGTAACAACTTGATGGGTATGTTACTGTCAGGCTTTTAGTCTATCATTAGTTAGTAACAACTTGATGGGTATGTTACTGTCAGGCTTTTAGTCTATCATTAGTTAGTAACAACTTGATGGGTATGTTACTGTCAGGCTTTTAGTCTATCATTAGTTAGTAACAACTTGATGGGTATGTTACTGTCAGGCTTTTAGTCTATCATTAGTTAGTAACAACTTGATGGGTATGTTACTGTCAGGCTTTTAGTCTATCATTAGTTAGTAACAACTTGATGGGTATGTTACTGTCAGGCTTTTAGTCTATCATTAGTTAGTAACAACTTGATGGGTATGTTACTGTCAGGCTTTTAGTCTATCATTAGTTAGTAACAACTTGATGGGTATGTTACTGTCAGGCTTTTAGTCTATCATTAGTTAGTAACAACTTGATGGGTATGTTACTGTCAGGCTTTTAGTCTATCATTAGTTAGTAACAACTTGATGGGTATGTTACTGTCAGGCTTTTAGTCTATCATTAGTTAGTAACAACTTGATGGGTATGTTACTGTCAGGCTTTTAGTCTATCATTAGTTAGTAACAACTTGATGGGTATGTTACTGTCAGGCTTTTAGTCTATCATTAGTTAGTAACAACTTGATGGGTATGTTACTGTCAGGCTTTTAGTCTATCATTAGTTAGTAACAACTTGATGGGTATGTTACTGTCAGGCTTTTAGTCTATCATTAGTTAGTAACAACTTGATGGGTATGTTACTGTCAGACTTTTAGTCTATCATTAGTTAGTAACAACTTGATGGGTATGTTACTGTCAGACTTTTAGTCTATCATTAGTTAGTAACAACTTGATGGGTATGTTACTGTCAGACTTTTAGTCTATCATTAGTTAGTAACAACTTGATGGGTATGTTACTGTCAGGCTTTTAGTCTATCATTAGTTAGTAACAACTTGATGGGTATGTCCGCAAAGCATTAGTCAACAACAAAACTCTCTATTACCTACATTGCTGGCAAAATCTAATATCTTATCTGCGGTGGAGGTAAACTCACTTTTAAAGTAAAGGTAATTTTTCTCTAAGTACAGGTAATATACAATAATCTATTGACAGCACAGGTAAAATTTTGTAGTTTACCTGCACTACAGATGAGCTCTAAATAAATTTAATGCTGCATAGGTAAAATTTATCAACTTACACCACAAATAGATTTCCTATCATATCTACAGAACAGTGGTTTAACTTCAATACAGGCAATACCTAGTCGTGTATTTGGTTTAATTTTGTTTAATGTCCTATTAACAGCTAACGTCATTAAAGGACGTGCCTCCATGTGTGTAGTGCATGCAAGCTTGGGTGTGTGTGTGCAGGAGACAGGGTATGTTGGTGTGTTTGCCTCCTTGTGATAGTGCAGATCTGATGCCAACTTTATAGTGCTATCTCACTGAAATACCATGCTGAAGGCTCCCAGCATAGCATTCCGCCCGGTCACATTATACTGACAACGGGTGAACCAGTTATTGCAATTCCCCTAATTCCTGAATGTTTAGCAGGGAATAACAACTACCATTTTTAAAGACTTTGGTATGTCCTGGCCTGGGGACAGAACCCATTGCCATCCTCACTTGGGCTAACGCTCAACATTAAGGCCAAAAGTGAGGTGTTGCCAAGCAAGGCGCTAGGAAATGAAAGGCAGTTAGAAGTAGAAAGAAAGATAAAGATCCCAAATATTGCAATGGATGCAGCAGATTAATTTTGGTCGCTTTTGTGTCCCCAAATAGAGGACAACAAAGCAAATCCACCTAGTAGTTTACCAGAATGTACAAACCACTCTATAAATACTATTACTAGCACTCTCTGAGGCATGGCTTGAGATGTCCATCCTACTTAATATCCAAAGACACCAATTCAGGTCTGCATGGAATTGATATATTACCAAGAAACGAGTGGTATGGTATGTACAAATTAATACCTTTTGAGAAATTGAGCTTAAGTAACAGAGCACATGATTATTTAAATTTAAATCACTGCCTCCGCTAGGAATCAAACCAATATGGTCAATGCTCAGGAAAAATAGAAGGATTAGGTGAGAAATTGAAATCCAGATTTATTTCAGTTTCCTTAGCGACAGTCCGATTTCATGAAATGGATGAATATATTGGGAGTTTTAATTGTCCTGAAATAATAAAAACTCTGAATCAAAATTACATTACAGAACTGTACTAATGAAAAAGATTTGTAATCAGCCGCAAAGACTAAATCTGTTATACATCACTGCTTCAGATAATGCTGACACCCACAACTTACGACAATGATGTACACAAACTTACGACCATGATTTACACAAACTTACGACAATGATGTACACAAACTTACGACCATGATGTACACAAACAATGCTCATGTCCACAAACTTACGACCATGATTTACACAAACTTATGACAATGATGTACACAAACCTACCCCCATGATGTACACAAACTAACAACCATGCTGTACACAAACAATGCTGATGTCCGCAAACTTACGACCATGATGAACACAAACTTACGACCATAATGTACACAAACTAACGACCATGATGTACACAAACAATGCTGCTGTCCACAAACTTACGACCATGATGTACACAAACTTACGACAATAATGTACACAAACTTACGACCATGATGTACAAACTTACGACCATGATGTACACAAACTCACGACCATGATGTACACAAATTTACGACCATAATGTACACAAACAATGCTGATGTCCACAACTTATGACCATGATGTACACAAACTCATGACCATGATGTACACAAACTTACGACAATGATGTACACAAACTTACGACAATGATGTACACAAACTCACAACCATGATGAACACAAACTCACAACCATGATGAACACAAACTTACGACCATAATGTACACACAATACAAAGCTCAATGAGAATTGAAGTTGGTATTTAAACAAAATACCACACCAATTTTCACAAACTCCACAGAGCAGTTAAAATTCTAGTTGTAGAATCAAGCAATTTCAAATAATGGTTTTCTGTACAAGTCGTTTGGACACCATTCTAAAAAGTGATGCATCCAAGGAGATATGATCTTGTTCAATTTGTAGAAAATTTCTTTTATAAGATGTGAGCATGCAGTTATACAACACTGTATTATCATCATTTGACAGTGATAAGCCAAGGGAACTAAACTCATTCACCCCTGAAGGCACATTTGAACTATTCCAATTCAAAGGATGGAATAGTTCATTATGAAATTTCAGGGGTGAATGAGTTAATTGAGAAAGGAGAATTATCATGAGCTTTGATCCAATGTAACAGAATATTGTTAATCTAACTTTCAAAATCTGAAAAAAAAGGTTCTGGAATTTTAATGCTGAAAAGAAATTCCTTTTCAGTAAAAAAAAAAACAATTCATTATTCGAAAGAAAGAAAAAAAGTCATTATTCCCAATCTGATTAAAATCATATGTTACATGGCTTCGTTAACTTCACACTACGCCTGAACATCTGAGTGTGCCGCGGTCAGGGTCACGTTCAGGTGACCTTTATATTTATATATACTCATTAAATTTTTACCAATCAGAGAACCTCTTTCAAAAGGGCACTCGGAGTTGTAACAAATATGGCGGACATTGATGAGAATGATGCGAAAGTTCTGAAGTTATTTGAGAGTGATCGTCAGAAACCCGAACAGAAAAATATATTTGAAGCTTTATTAGAGAAGAAAGACTATGGCAGTGTTGCCTACGCAATTATTACCCAATGGGTACGTTTTCCTTGGCGTCGTAGAAACGTCAGTTCCCGCCGACATATTTGTTTTGGAAAACTAACCTGTTCAATACCCCTCGCTTTTTATCTATCAACCATGACATTCCGATTCACTGGCAAATTTTTGCTAGCGCGCCTCTGATTGGTTCATCTAAATGTCACTTGAACGTGACCCTGACTGCGGCACATTAAGATGTTCAGGCGGAGCCATGTAACAGATGATTTTAATCAGATTGTCATTATTCCAAACTTCAAGTTTAGATACTAATGAGTCTTGATTTAAGAGGTAACACTGTATATTGGTCATTACCATATACTTCCATGGGTTTATCCTGGGAAATATAGTGTATACCTCGAAAAATTTGTGAGTAATTTTGTTTGTCAGTTTTACGTTTACAGGCAATTTTGCTGAAAAACTTTTGTGGTCAGTCGTCCGTTCATATAGAATTAGCCAAGATGACCACTTATTTGCTGAGTAGCTGAACTTAATTGTGATTTCAATTCATCTGTGTATATGGTATTTCACAATTCTGAGTCTGAACAAGCAGGCTATATTGTTTACTGTTATTATGTCTGAACAAGCAGGCTCTATTGTTTGCTGTTATTGTGTCTGAACAAGCAGGCTATATTGTTTGCTGTTATTGTTATTGTGGCTGAACAAGCAGGCTATATTGTTTACTGTTATTATGTCTGAACAAGCAGGCTCTATTGTTTGCCGTTATTGTGTCTGAACAAGCAGGCTATATTGTTTACTGTTATTGTGTCTAAACAAGCAGGCTATATTGTTTGCTGTTATTGTGTCTAAACAAGCAGGCTATATTGTTTACTGTTATTGTTTCTGAACAAGCAGGCTATATTTTTTGCTGTTATTGTTTCTGAACAAGCAGGCTATATTGTTTACTGTTATTGTTTCTGAACAAGCAAGCTCTATTGTTTGCTGTTATTGTGTCTGAACAAGCAGGCTATATTGTTTACTGTTATTGTGTCTGAACAAGCAGGCTATATTGTTTACTGTTATTGTGTCTGAACAAGCAGGCTATATTGTTTGCTGTTATTGTGTCTGAACAAGCAGGCTATATTGTTTACTGTTATTGTGTCTGAACAAGCAGGCTATATTGTTTACTGTTATTGTGTCTGAACAAGCAGGCTATATTGTTTACTGTTATTGTGTCTGAACAAGCAGGCTATATTGTTTACTGTTATTGTGTCTGAACAAGCAGGCTATATTGTTTACTGTTATTGTGTCTGAACAAGCAGGCTATATTGTTTACTGTTATTGTGTCTGAACAAGCAGGCTATATTGTTTACTGTTATTGTGTCTGAACAAGCAGGCTATATTGTTTACTGTTATTGTGTCTGAACAAGCAGGCTATATTGTTTACTGTTATTGTGTCTGAACAAGCAGGCTATATTGTTTACTGTTATTGTGTCTGAACAAGCAGGCTATATTGTTTACTGTTATTGTGTCTGAACAAGCAGGCTATATTGTTTACTGTTATTGTGTCTGAACAAGCAGGCTATATTGTTTACTGTTATTGTGTCTGAACAAGCAGGCTATATTGTTTACTGTTATTGTGTCTGAACAAGCAGGCTATATTGTTTACTGTTATTGTGTCTGAACAAGCAGGCTATATTGTTTACTGTTATTGTGTCTGAACAAGCAGGCTATATTGTTTACTGTTATTGTGTCTGAACAAGCAGGCTATATTGTTTACTGTTATTGTGTCTGAACAAGCAGGCTATATTGTTTACTGTTATTGTGTCTGAACAAGCAGGCTATATTGTTTACTGTTATTGTGTCTGAACAAGCAGGCTATATTGTTTACTGTTATTGTGTCTGAACAAGCAGGCTATATTGTTTACTGTTATTGTGTCTGAACAAGCAGGCTATATTGTTTACTGTTATTGTGTCTGAACAAGCAGGCTATATTGTTTACTGTTATTGTGTCTGAACAAGCAGGCTATATTGTTTACTGTTATTGTGTCTGAACAAGCAGGCTATATTGTTTACTGTTATTGTGTCTGAACAAGCAGGCTATATTGTTTACTGTTATTGTGTCTGAACAAGCAGGCTATATTGTTTACTGTTATTGTGTCTGAACAAGCAGGCTATATTGTTTACTGTTATTGTGTCTGAACAAGCAGGCTATATTGTTTACTGTTATTGTGTCTGAACAAGCAGGCTATATTGTTTACTGTTATTGTGTCTGAACAAGCAAGCTCTATTACACTAGACAGACAGCTACAGTAGAGATTCTATATGTGTACTGCTTAAATGGAAATTTTCAGTTTGGAAATTTTGAATAAATTTTCATCAAAAAAATAATCTGAATACTGGTAAACAAATTATATACTGTCAACTGAACAAAAACTTATCTAGACACCTGTAATTTCCTTTATATTAGTAAAGCAACTTAAAGACTTATCATTAAGTTAGATGTAAAACAAATGTAACCAAATCTTAAAATTCAAGAAACAGGCGACAAAATATACTGATAATCTTTCAGTAAATAATGTCTCCAAAAAGGAGCATCAAAGCACAACTTATATCAGTCTGAAAAATTTGAGAAAAATTTCCAACAAGAAAAAATATAATTTGTTCAATATACAGTGACACATAAAGAAGACATGCGTGTCACCTAAACAAGCAAGGCCCCAACATGCTGTCATCCCACCACCACAGGACCTGTCCGGTCCCGAGCAGACGGTTTACCTGGCAACGTAGTGCTACTTAAGAAGCTGCTTGAACTCTTGTCACCACGGCTACGCATAGAATCCGCAAGGTTGTCACTGGATTTGGCTCCTTTATCAAATAGGATTGAGGGTGAGTGACAAAGCAGAGAGTTGAAATGTGTCGGAGGTAATAGTCACACGTTACTGTAAACTGCGATATTTTTCATCCCAAAGAAAACAATTTAACCCTTTGGCTTTTTAGAACAACTTAAATATGTTTGAATTTTGCCTCGTCTTGTAAGATACATTATCAGTGCTGAGTTTTACTGTTTAAATGCAATTTACAATTTTTGAATTGTTTACCTCAGACTGGCTATGCTCTCAAGATGTATTGCAAAATTAAGGCAAAAACAGAAATGGGGACAAAAATTTCACAGTTTACAGTTTGTTATAAGTTGCATACAACCCATGACAAATCAAAAGTGGTAAAAAAAAACGCTGAGCTAATTATTAAAATTTTACAGAATACAGAAAGATGATTCCTATTTACCAAATGGAATTGTCATCAGTTACATACGGCATAGTGCATTTGGAACGACCAATGAAATCACTGTAAATCATTTATATTTTGTGGAATATAATTTCGTGTTAAAGAGCAGCGAGGGAAGATCATCAATTTACCCAGGTAAGTATTAACCAGACATTTCAGACAAGGAATCCATGTATCTGTTCCATGGGATTTCCCAAGTCCTTATAAATAATTTGTTGGGAGGTAAACTATATAAATATCTTACAATTAATCATTTACAGTAACCAGAGTATTTGCCTTTTTTATGTTGTTGGTCATTGAAGCTTACGGTGAACCTTGACCTCTAGGTATAGCCTTTATACTAATACATATACAAATCACAACAATTATAAGGGTGCAACGAGTATTATTTGCTCACCTGGTTCATTAAAAGAATTTTCATTTTTTTCTTTTATCATTTACAGCTGCCCCTACCCTAGTTGTGCTATTCATGTTATGCAGTAAACTTGAACAAACTTGCATCTTCTTTTTTCTAAGGTTGTTTCTGATAAAATCTGGATGAATTTGGCAGACTGATTTTTGAGAAGAAATAATTTCAAAAATAATGATCTTTTAAAGCTAAGACTTTACACCATCCTTAAGTTAAGCTAACATGGCCCCTGAGAGATAAATTGTGTCCCTTGAAGACTTCTATGGACATTATTCTAACTTATTTTAACAAACCTGCATTCCCTTTTGAAATTTGAATACTTTTTTAAGAATGGACACAATTTGTAAATAATTGACAAAACCGACATTGCACCATGGCATACTTTCTGGTCAGAAAAGCTACAAATTCTTTAATAAATTTGTTTGAAAAATGATACTAAACATAAAGTGAGAGATGATTACAAACAAGCAACATCATCTTTCTACCCACACCAATAAAACTGTTCCACAGAAAATCAGCACTGGACACAGAAACCAAGCTTAAGTAGGACCACTTCGACATACATCAAACAAATAGATCGTAATCAACACTAACGCAGAGTTAAGAGACATTACGTAAAATACCCCACCAAATCAACAGATGAAATGAAACAGAGATTAGGTTTATCAACAGAAGAGACGGATCAGAAAGATTAACTGATAAATGTACAATAAATATTACTGAAATAAACGCAGCACAGAGACACCAAGAAAGTTAATATCAACAGAGAAAAGAATATCCAGGTAAACAACAGTCACGTCAAGTAATATATATATATAATATATACAAGCCACAGAAAAAGCTAAAGAAAAGGTATAACACAATTTCCTGTTATGTACAATAACTAAAAGACTACAAACAGAGAGATGTGTACATGCTACATGACAATGTTTACCTCTGACAGATTGGTCGCTACTGTCAGCCTCTAGGTTGAGAGCAGTGGTAGATTTTGCGCGACTACGACTCTGTTTAGACAGGGCCGAAGTTTCCAGCAGATTCTCTGCACTACCATGTCGATGGTATTTCCGTTCTGATGGTACAAAAAACAAAACTCTCAAAACCAAGACCTTTCCATATAAGGAAATAAAAGAAGTTGAGTTGGCATGCCAGAGAGTATTGGTGCACGGCATGCTAGGAAACATCACATGATCCAGGAGCACAGTCAAGTAACAATAAAGACCAGAGTAATGCTGGACACATGCTTTATTGACCACTGGTCAGATGGTCAGTAGTGACTCGGACAACACAAACACATGACAATTAGCAAGAGTGTTCACACGAACTGTTAGCAGGCAGTGTGGTCAAAACAAAGTTATATTTGTGTAGGAGAAGATTTCTGTGTGAACCAGACAGGAAGTGTGACGAGGTTAGGGTAGAACTTGGGCTACAACGTAAACAGACATGGAAGAGTTCCAGGGATACAAGCAGGTAATTTTGACAATTATGTACAGGTGAGGAGGAAAGTTTGACCACAGATAATTTCCATGGCAAGATAGGCAAGGTCAAACAGGTAATTCCCACAACAAGACAGGTTAGATCAGAGACATTTCCATAACAACAATATGAAAGGTGACAAGGGGGAGGGGCAGTTATTTCCATGACAACACAAGGTAAGGTCATACAGATCATTTCCATCAAAATGCAGGTAAGGTCATACAGATCATTTCCAGGAAAACACAAGGTAAGATCATACAGATCATTTCCATGACAACACAAGGTAAGATCATACAGATAATTTCCATGACAACACAAGGTAAGGTCATACAGATAATTTCCATGACAACACAAGGTAAGGTCACATATATCATTTCCATGACAACACAAGGTAAGGTTACAAAGGGTGAATTTCCATGACAACACAGGCAAGGATATAAGGGGTCATTTTCATGACGACAATAGGTTCATTTTCTTGAGATCATAGACAAGGTCACACAGAGGTCATGCTAGTAATACTTCAGGCAAGGTCATACAGAGGTCATTTCCTTGACAACACAGACATTATCATTCATATGATGGTATCGCGGAGAACACCATGATAGCATGCCATAACAACGTTTCATAAACAAAATGTGAGCTTGAGTTTGGAGACTATTGCTTCAAAAAATGTCTTACAAATGTACAGTGAAACCTATCTTTTCAGACTCCTGAGTATTCTAACATCTTGTTATATCTGTCATAAGTTGTGATCTAATATTAATATATAAAACTCCAAATAAAACCTGTGTATTGACTGACCCCTTGTCTAAAACAACCAATTTGGATTTCAACAGGTGTCAGATTAGTTACAGGGTGTCAGGTTAGAGAGATCTTCAGTGCAGATCCAGTGTCAGATTAGGCAGGTTTTACATAATTTCAGTGTCATATTAGAGAGATTTTACTGTAGATCACAAGGGGGGTCGGACCAGACAGGTTTAAATAGTATCCACATCAAGCGATGAATGCTAGCTCACTAGATAATCAGGTTACAATTACAGTTAGTTTCAGTTACCAAATCCAGTACATCTGATATATCTTTTATTTCACTGTGCAGTCCATAGCCATTATAACTACCACTACTGATACAAGATCAGGTGATCAGGTGATCAGAAATCATACCCCATTACAACATGGCCGCCTGTCACCATACAGAACCACTCCCGATCTAGTTTCTATGGAAAAACCTCATGCCCCACTACACCCTATCCCGTAATTCTCACCTGACTTCCTGGAGTCATGGTCAGCTGTGACATCACCAGATCCCTGTGATGTGTTGTCTTGACTGTTATCTATGTTGGTCAGGTTGTTTCTGCTCTTACTCCGCTCTCGGTTCTGGGAGGTTGAAGATCAAAGGTCAAACACATAACAAAGGTCAGCAATCACAAGACAAAGATCAAAGGTCAAAGATGTCAAGGTCAGCAATCACAAGACAAAGATCAAAGGTCAAACACATAACAAAGGTCAGCAATCACAAGACAAAGATCAAAGGTCAAAGATGTCAAGGTCAGCAATCACAAGTGAATGATTAAAGTGATTCATGTAAAGATGCTAACAATGAATAGTCACATACACTGACAGCAACATTACTGAAGGCCATGGTCGAATTTCATAAAAAAAATCAAATTCAAATTCATATTTTGATCATGAATATGAACCATATGTTGAAGAGAAAAAAAAAGGAAACCCACTTTCAAGATTAAATTTAAATTGCTTTAATCAAACTCAATTAGATATTTTGTATTGTAATCATCCCATAAATACAAAATCAGATGGTATGTGATTTTTTTTTTGATACCTACCCTTGATACAAATATCTTCGCTGCTCTCCTTGCTATTCTTGCCCCCAGACCTCTATTTCTGTAACAAACAACATTAGTACCAATATAATCAGTGAAATGGACACCTAACATAACAATCTGTAAGTCTTGTATGACAAGGTTTACCTTCTTATATTAGACAGTACTGTATACCAGTTTTATTTCCCACGGTTTTATATCATTAACAAGAGGGCCTGTATCGCTCACCTGGATACCAAAGCAATCATGGCAAAATATTCTCTGAATGAGATCAAGGGAATATGCCAGACCCCAAGGCCAATCCTTGTAGCATATCTGTATTAGATTCTTCATGCCCAGCAATTTTATGTATGGTTATGGGGTGGGGATCTCAACTGTTTCCAAGCTTTGACTCAGAAACTAGGTCCCTAGGGTTGTGGCCAGACCCCAGGATCAATTCTAATATCGTGACTGCATTTGTCTCTTTTTGCCCAGCATTTGTATATATAGTTTTGGGGTGGGGATCTCAACCATTTCAAAGTTATGACCCAGGGGTTAAGTCTGCAAGGGTGGGGCAGACCCTGGGGTCAATTCTAATATCATGACTGCATTCGTCTTTTTATGCCCAACAATTGTATATATAGTTTTGGGGTGGGGATCTAAACCATTTCGAAGTTATGACCCAGGGGTTAAGTCTCCAAGGGTGGGGCAGTCCCCAAGGCCATCCTGGAAGCATATGTGCAATCATCTCTTTATACTCAGCAATTGTATATACCGTTATAGGGTGGGGCTCTCAACTGTTTCCAAGCTGTGACTAACAAACTAGGTCCCTAGGGGTTCAGTCAGACCCCAGGGTCTATTCTGATATCATGACTGCATTCGTCTTTTTATGCCCAGCATTTGTATATATAGTTTTGGGGTGGGGATCTCAACAGTTTTAAAGTTATGGCCCAGGAACTATGTCTCCAAGGGTGGGGCCAGACCCTATAGCCATCCTGGAAGCAAATGTGCATTCTTCTCTTTATACTCAGCAGTTGTATACCATGGTTATATGGTGGGGATCTCAACTATTTCCAAGTAATACACTTTTTTTGGCCCCACCCCTTAGCCTGGGGGGTCAGCCCCACCATTTGTACAATTTTGAACCCCTGCCACCCATGAATGCTTCCGACCAAATACGATCAATATCCATGGCATAGTTCTACAGTAGAAGTCGTTTATAGCAATATAGCCAAATTGCCCCCCTTTTGGCCCTGCCCTCAGCCCCCTGGGGGCTCAGCCCCACCATTTGTATAATTTTGAATCCCCACCACCTAGGGATGCTTCCAGTCAAATATGGTTGATATCCACCTCTTAGTTCCAGAGAAGAAGTCGCTTTTAGCAATATTGCAAAATTGACTCCTTTTGGCCCCGCCCCTCAGCCCCCTGGGGTGTCAGCCCAACCATTTGTACAATTTTGAATCCCCACCTCCTAGGGATGCTTCCAGTTAAATATGGTTGATATCCATGGCATAGTTCTACAGAAGAAGTCGTTTGTAGCAATATAGCCAAATTGCCCCCTTTTTGCCCCGCCCCTAAGCCCCCTGGGGGGTCAGCCCCATCATTTGTACAATTTTGAATCCCCACCACCTAGGGATGCTTCCAGTCAAATATGGTTGATATCCACTTCTTAGTTCCAGAGAAGAAGTCGCTTAAAGCAATATAGCCAAATTGACCCCTTTTGGCCCCGCCCCTCAGCCCCCTGGGGGGTCAGCCCCACCATTTGTACAATTTTGAATCCTCACCACCTAGGGATGCTTCCAGTCAAATTTAGTTGAATTCCAATCAGTGGTTCAGAAGAAGAAGTCGTTTAAATAAATTGTTGACGTACGGACGACGTACGGACGACGGACGCAACGGTATGGCATAAGCTCACCTTGGTCCTTCGGACCAGGTGAGCTAATAATCAAAGTGAGAATATAATCCACATAGTACAAACGTCAGCCGATATTGGCTGTCTGAGAACCATAAAACCATAATGTAAGCACAATATAATGATCCATTACTCTAATAACGTATAATCTCGTTACATCACCAGGGAATTTGGTCCCCATGAAAATGCAACACTGTAAAAGTAAATTGTTTTAGAGTACTTTAGAGAAGCATGAACCTACATATCAATAGACAGGTTCAGCTTTAATTACAGACAGGACAGGGATACACATAGATAAGTTCTAGTGTATAATGAAGATACTCTTTACATACTACATACAGGACAGGGATACACATAGATAAGTTCTAGGGTATAATGAAGATACTCTTTACATACTACAGACATGACAGGGATACACATAGATAAGTTCTAGTGTATAAGGAAGATACTCTTTACATACTACAGACAGGACAGGTATACACATATATAAGTTCTAGTGTATAATGAAGATACTCATTACATACTACAGACAGGACAGGGATACATATATAGTGTATAATGAAGATACTCTTTACATACTACAGATAGGACAGGCATACACATAGATAAGTTCTAGTGTATAATTAAGATACTCTTTACATACTACAGACAGGACAGGGGTACACATAGATAAGTTCTAGTGTATAATGACGATACTCTTTACATACTACAGACGGGACAGGGATACACATAGATAAGTTCTAGGGTATAATGAAGATACTCTTTACATACTACAGATAGGACAGGCATACACATAGATAAGTTCTAGTGTATAATTAAGATACTCTTTACATACTACAGACAGGACAGGTATACACATAGATAAGTTCTAGTGTATAATGAAGAAACTCTTTACATACTACAGACAGGACAGGGGTACACATAGATAAGTTCTAGTGTATAATGAAGATCCTCTTTACATACTACAGACAGGACAGGGAAACATATATAGATGAAGTTCTAGTGTATAATGAATATACTATTTACATACTACAGACAGGACAAGGATACACATAGATAAGTTCCAGTGTATAATGAAGATACTCTTTACATACTACAGACGGGACAGGGATACACATAGATAAGTTCTAGGGTATAATGAAGATACTCTTTACATACTACAGACAGGACAGGGATACATATATAGATGAAGTTCTAGTGTATAATGAATATACTCTTTACATACTACAGACAGGACAAGGATACACATAGATAAGTTCTAGTGTATAATGACGATACTCTTTACATACTACAGACGGGACAGGGATACACATAGATGAAGTTCTAGTGTATAATGACGATACTCTTTACATACTACAGACGGGACAGGGATTCACATAGATGAAGTTCTAGTGTATAATGAAGATACTCTTTACATACTACAGACAGGACAAGGGTACACATAGATAAGTTCTAGTGTATAATGACGATACTCTTTACATACTACAGACAGGACAAGGGTACACATAGATAAGTTCTAGTGTATAATGAAGATACTCTTTACATACTTCTTAGAAACTTCCTGTCGCTTGTAGTGATCCATGATCTTTTCTTCAAGTCTTTCCTTCTGTCGTCGTAAGTCAGACATCTTTTCTCTGGAACAGGAAATTAAATTATTAGTATGGGATCTGCAGTATGATATTATACACTTATTGCCCTGGTGTGAGGGAGACCTGAAGAGTTGTTTCCCCAAGATAAATCATGTTTGCCGAGGGCGACGCCCTCGGCAAACATGATTCTGAGAGTTGAATTTGCAAATACATATTTACTGATACTACTAACTATTCATATATAATTTTTTGCACAGTGTTAAATCTGATCAAATTTTTTCGGAAGAAAATAAAATGTTTTTCCTGTAATTAGTGCAGAAAGTTAACAGATGTAACTGAGGCTGGAAGTTTGAACATTTGCAGATTGGGTAAAAAGACTAGGCCTGCTGTATCCCACTGCATGATCATATGAAGTGACTAACACAGGGCTCCACGCATGCTCACTGTTTCAGAGGAGATCACAAAATAAAACAGATCTGCTGTGTTGAGATGTATGTAATGGTACTGATGGGTTGTTAAAACTGAATCAAATAACTGAGGCAGGAACGTACAGGTATGACTTCTCCTCCTCGGCGAAGTGCTCCTTGCTGTTTAGGATCTGTGACAACAGCTCATGGTTGGAGTTGAGAAGAGACTGGATCTGCATCAGCAGGTTCTTGTTGTCTTCTTCCATCTTCTGGTTCATCTGGTACAGAGTCTGTCAACACAACAGGTCACCAGGGGTTACATGTTACCATGGGTTTTCATAGGTCACTACAAGTCACTGTATATATATACCACAACAGGTCACCACAGGTCAAATATTATCATAGGTCACTACAGGTCACTGTATACAACAATAGGTCACCACAGGTCAAATATTATCATAGATCACTACCGGACACTGTATACAACAACAGGTCACCTCAGGTCAAATATCATAGGTCACTACAGGTCACCACATGTCAAATAGCATAGGTCACTACAGGTACAGGTCACCACAGGTCAAATATCATAGGTCACCACAGGTCAAAAATCATAGGTCACTACAGGTCATTGTATACCACAACAGGTCAAATGTTATCATAGGTCACTGCAGGTCACTGTATTCAACAACAGGTCACCTCAGGTCAAATGGTAATCATAGGTCACTACAGGTCACTGTATACCACAACAGGTCACCACAGGTACATGTCACTGTATACCACGTACAAAAGGTCATCCCAAGTCACATCAGGTCAATGTACATGTATGTCACAACAAACATAATTTATGACAGGCCACCCCATGTTACCATGGTTACTCTAGGTCTCAACTGTTCACAACAGGTTATAATGTCAAAATAAATCAACAGATGTTGTCAAATATCACAATGTCCAACAACAATTAATATAACAATGAAAACGTTTCAAGTTTATTTTCAAATGTTTTTGAATTTATCATCCATCTAATAAGCTTGATGTTAAAATACATTAGAAGGAACATCAGAGTCTTATTGTTCTACTGTTATATACTTCTGTTTTACACTCACATCACTCGTAATCATAAATCAGGGCTAAATCCATGACTGGAGTTTCAAAGCCACTCATAAACTGATAAGTTAAACTTCCTGAATTAAGTGAATACATGGTTCAAGCTCTTAGCAAAAGTTTTCATTTCTGGGCAAAAAGATACAAAAACTAGAAATGTATTTTGTGAACAAAAACATGTCTCCTCTGATTCTTATTAGCCAAAAGACAAACTTTGGTATACAAAATTTAACAAAGGGCCATATCTCTTTATATAGTGGAGGACACATATTTGGTCTGGCTTACATTACTGGCAATAAAAACCAAAACCCCAAAAATAGTTTTTAGGTACAAGTTCACGAACTTTCATAGACGACAAATTTAGCAGCTCCACGTTAGTTATATATGTTACTTACATCATACTTATGGGCGAGACTGTTGACGTCGATTTCCATGGAATGTAACTGTTCCCTGTACTCATCACACTGAGTTTTAAGCTCGGCGTTCTTTGTAAGGAATGTGTTGTTCTCGGTTTTCAGATGTTTGTTTTCGCCTGCCGTGTCACTATAATTCTTACACAGCTGCTCGTGTTTACTAAGCAGCTTACTGTGTTCCTCGCGTAGGTGTTCGTACTCCATCTGCACTCCTCCCAGAGACTGTATCTCTGACCGTAAGGCATCTTTCTCACGCTGGGCACGATCCCGAACATGCGATACGTCCTCGCGACCCTGCAGGAATGCATCTAACTGGTCTTTTAGCTCTTTGTTTTCTCCCTTCATAGACTTATGCACTGATTTGAGTGAACCGTGTTCAGAGATGAGTCCCTCATACTCCGACGCAAGCTGTTCATGATACTGTTGTAGTTGTTCGTGGTCCTGAACCAATTGTTCGTGTGAAATCTGTAGCTCCTCCTGGTTCTCCAGAAGGTGTTTATGCTCCCCCTCCAGTTGTGACAAATGGGACTGCAGGGTGGACATCTGGGACCGTAGCGTGGAACACTCCGACTTCAACGTAGAGTTCTCCACTTGAAGCTTGGCATTGTGGGACTGAAGCGACGTGAACTGGTCCTGCAGGGTCAACGACTGGTTCTGAAGCTTCGAGTTCTGACTCTCTAACTTCTGGATTTGAGCATTCAGCGAGTTGGTCTGTGACTTCAGGTTCTTGTTTTCGGCCATAAAGGTGGCATTCTGCAGAGAAAAGATATTTACTTCACTTTGATGACTTTAAACAATTTTTTATTTTAACAATGATGATAAACAAGATTGTTACATTAATACATATTTTCCCCTGATATGGGGTTGATATACTGTAAACTGGGAACAACATAATCTACATAGTAATTGAACGGGAAAGGCGAAATTAACACTGGGCAAATTTGGATTTCACTGGCGTAGGGTGAATGTTTGCCTGGGTAAAAATTTCCCGGTATACAGTTTTTGAAACGAAGTGTGTTGCATACCACCATCAATGTCAAAAGATGAATAAATTTCAATGCTTATAATTACATCTAAAGAAAGGACACAGAGGTCAAGGTCAATGTTGCAAAAGGTCATGCAACATTCTGCACTGATTGAGAGGAGTCATCAAACAAGAATTTAAACTCACCTGTCTTTCCACCTGTATGAGATGGTCCTTCACTTCAAACATTTCCTTGGTTGGGTTGTTGGCCCGCCCAGACTGACTAAAGCGTGAAGCACTGTCATGTCTGTAAACATTTATAATTCTGAGTTATTTTCAACAACAAATAACGGTCAAAGAAAGAGGATGAAACAATATCAATATAAGAAATATTAAAAACATTCATTGATAATAACTAGTTTGGAAATTGATTTTATTTGATATCAGAATTGAAACTTCTTTACAGAAAATGAATTGTTATATATATGTAGGGAGGTAACTTGTTTTCCATTATGGTATAATTGACCTGTAACGACAAACATTACACTGACCTGTCCCTGCTGTGCGACTCCTCCTCGTACCGCTGTTTAAGTGACTCGCACTCCTGCTTGAGCTGACGCATTTCGTCCTGGAGACGTATGTTACGTTTCTTGGACTCTTCCAGTCTGTCAATTTGAAATTGAAGGAATAATGCTTAGTTTCTCCAATACTGGTATGGCTCTCTTTTTTCTAGTCAATCCCATAGTGATTTATTCCTATTAGTAAGTATACTGATGAACATCTATTTGCATGTCAAGATCAGCATACTAGCCGACTCCAAACCTGCCACTGATGACTGCTACCTAATGCCGAAAGAGGAATCTCTTTTATCAGGAGAGATCTCTCTCTCTTTGGTGCATATAACAGTATTCTGAGATTAAATTATTAACTTAATTCATGTAATTGAATTAGAAAATTTGTCGTTCAGGTTTCAAGAATAATGCCAGAAAAAATACCTTTTTTTTTACTAAGAACGTGTCAACTTTTTATTTGTTATTCACTAATCCAGGACTTTTTGTGATTCTGGCTGACTTTCAGAAATAAATGGGTTCATTGCGCATGTGAAGCACAAGTAGGAAGCTAGTGAGAAATCCCACTCTTCCTAGATCCTGGAGTGATTATAGTCACATCTTGAGAGAGACAATTCCTTAGATCTTGTCCAGAACAGAATGTTTGGAATGTTTGCAAAACAAACAAAATGAAATTAACAGGGACAAACATGACAACAGACTTCAAACAAAATTATTGATTGAAGACAATTTTTTCTTTTTGTTAATCCATTTTTATTTCCCTATATTGCCTGTTTCCAGCAGGTAAACACATTTTGACACAACAAAATAAACAGATGAGGAAGTAAACATGTAGATAATGTATTTCTTGGTCATTTCCTTGTATATACCAGGACTTCACTGAGGTATTGACCTAGTTGTAATTATGCAAGGTAGATCTAGGTCATCTACTGTTATGTAGATCTACAGTTTCCATTTCCTTACCTGGTATGCATTAATTACCATATGTCATTAAGGAAATATTTCTTGCCACTTCAAAATTTCTATACAATTTTTTTTTGTAATATAAATGAACATGGGAAACCTATCTTAACTTGAATTCAGTTTTAGACATAAAATTAAACCCCAAAATATAGCTTTGAGACTAAAGCGGAAATGTAATTTTTTTTAACTTCAAAATAATCAGAGATATTTTTTTTTTAGAATTAAGCTGTCAATGACAGGACAATATGAAAAAGTTCTTTCTATTTGGGTTTTTAATGTTCAATTTCCTTATTCCTCAGAAGTAATTACTTTCAAAAAGAATTTGTGTAAATATGCATACAAATGCAAGGGTTGAGGGCCCTCAGTTCTAGCTATTACAGAAGTTAAGTTTGATGCATTTTGTTTCATATTTACTGTAGCTACAGCAATGTGTTTTGATTCTTACTTATAAGTACCAAAATTAAAATCACAATATAATACATATTAACAGTATTATCTTGCAAAGCTAGCCAGTCTTCAAAAGGCAGGGAAATGATATCAAAATTAAAATCATGATATTGATACACATTAACATTAATATCTTGTTAAGCTAACAAGTCATCAAAACACAGGGAAAACAGTTTTTAACAGTTTGGTCAGCTTAATGGTAATCTGTAACATTTTCCTCTGGGATAATTTCAAAAATATTTTAATTCATAACTGAAATTACACCAACAGGAAATCAAATGAGTATATGAAACAAGTAACTTAAATGTGTAAAAATGTTAAGAATATTTTCCCCCATACTCACCTTACGACAAGTCAAGCTTACAGAACTTTCTCTATTAGTACTCTGACCCCTTAAGTAAATAGACTAGCATTTACCTGCTCTCAAGGGCATGGATCTTTTCTTCTTTGATCTCCATGCTCTTCTTCAAAGCATCCTCCATCATGTTTTCCAGGGCTTTGTATCGACTGTGGGTGGAAACAATAGATTTTATGACAATCTGTGCAACACCTTCTATATATACCGTGTAGATTTGGCAACACCCTCTGTATGTGTAGATTTAGTAACAATGGGTGAAACACCTTGTCTATGTATTATAAGTGGCCTACCTTGTAATTAAACCCGAGGGTCAGTCATTAGGGCGGGGACTTAAACCTGCGTACCGACAGCTAACTGTCAGTCTATTGGGACGTCAAAAGGAATGGACTAACAAAAAAACAAACACTAAATTCCTTACTGTTATTTTACTCTATTTAACATTTATTTTGGACAAGAAAATCTATAGATGTTTCCCTGTTTGAAACATACAAAAGTCAATATATATTAAAGAATATTTTGTTCTTTTCAGTTGACATTTACACACACATAACCCATGGGAAAATCTGACGGTGTTAGTAAGTCAAATCTGTCGTCTGCTAGTGTCTGGTACGTGGCATAGGTGGAGAGTATCACTCATTAGTCTGTACAAAAACAAAACATCTCATTTACATGCTAATTACGTTGGACCAATTAACGCCTTTCTTACAAAAACAATTTGAGGCTTATGAAAAGATTCTTTTTCCACAACCAATACGTGTTTCTATGTGACGTTTCAATGACTAGTACGGTATATACTGTACTAGTCATCGAAACATCACATAGAAACACTTATTGGTTGTGTAAAAAGAATCTTTTCATAATCCATATTTAACAAAATGAAGAAAATGTTAAGAAACAATTCAAGGCTGAAATCACTCACACAATAACTTGCTCCTTAAAATTCTGAAAATCAATTTCTTCCTCCAATAATCTGTCCTGAATAGGGAGAACATTTTCAATCACCTGGCAGACCTCCTCCTCCTCCACAATCTCCTCCCCTACCCCATCTTCCTCACTGTACCCCTCCTCTACCCATCGTTCCTCTTCTATCCCTGGCTTCTCTGCCACCACCTCCTCCTCCTCATCCTCCTCTTCTTCCTCATTATCCCATGAGGTTGGACTTACCTCCGTGAGGGGCAAAAATGAAAAGCAGTATTCCTGAATGTCCACCATGCCTACCAAGGCTTAATTCCAACAAGGACACAAACCCGTGTGTAAACACCCACTTCCTGTATAGCCTGTCAGCGGGCTTTAAAAGCCCTATCTCCTATCAAGGGAATCCCTGCACAGGGAGCTGGGTCGTGTCCTTATGACTTCTTATATAGATCTGTTAAGGGAATCTCTGTATCCAAGTTCAGACTATGTCCTTACAACATCTTGTTTTGTCCTCTTTAGGGAATATTACTGTTCTCCAGGTTTGAAGGTCTTCAAACCGTCCTAATTAGTTCAGCCCCTTGTTAATGAGTGAGGAAAACCCTGTTCTCCGAGCTGAACAGATCCTTAAATGTACACCTTCTCTAGTCCTGTGTATGACATCCTCATACTCTGGGGTGAACTGTATCCTTACAACATCCTATCGAGTCCTTGGCAAGAAATCCATGCAGTCTGGGCCGAGATGTTCCTTACTGAACCCTCTTTTTGGTCCTGTATACAGAATCTGTGTATCCAGGGCTGATTTCCCTATCTAGTTCCATGTAGGTAAATCACTGGCTTTGTATCTGAGTATTTCAGCCTCAACTGAGCGCTGTACTCTGAACACCCCACCTAGAGATCACCAGTCAATACAGCCCATTGATTTCCTCCAGTATCCTTCTCTATGTCGAGAACATGTGGCAAACTTTACCAACGTCATTCATAAGCTCCTGTAAAGTTTCGGAATGACTGAAGTGTGACCTGCATTGAGTGACCCACTGAAGAATCGGGTACATATACGGCAACGTTACATCACCATATACCACTAAGCACCATACAGAACCATTTGGGCAGACCAGGGCCCTACAATAACAGGTGGGGACTTGGGCAGGGTCAAGAGGAGGCCCGTGGCTCAATATTTACTCTCATACAAACCCCATACAAAAGAGGCCAAAAATCAATTAAAAATCAATAACGTAAACCATGAAGATATTTTATACAACATCCGGAGGATTATCCTATATTTGTGATCAGTGAAAGCCACATCTGTTAAGATATTCAAATGATACCTTTTAAAGCTCTGGAGTTCAGACTTCAGTTAATAATAGTTTCAATAACACCCTGAAAAAATACCTATAAAATGTTTTCCTGTCTTTTTTGTCAGACGGTTAGGACATTTTGAGAGTGAAATTATGTATGCGACTGCTACATATTATACAGTTGATGGAGATGACTCTGTCTGGTGGTGATGAGACTTTATTTTACAATAACATTTTTGTCTTATGTGGAAAAAGGTGAAAATTGTGTGTAAACAACTCTGTGAAACTACAATTAATAATTAAATTGTCTTATTATAGTTTTAATTTTGTCTTATTAAAATTCATAACGTCTAATAACAGGTTACAACTTTATCTAATTATGACATGTTTGTCTGATAACATTTTAAACTTTGTCTTATTAAGTTTTACATATTTGTTTAATTACTTTTTTGACTCTGTCTAATAAGTTTACAACTTTGTTCAAATACGTTCCACAAATTTGTCTAATTAAAGTTTACAAATTTGTCTAATCATATTCCATAACTTTGGCTAATTACATTCTATAACTTTGTCTAATTAAATTCTATAACTTTGTCTAATTACATTCTATAACTTTGTCTAATTAAATTCTATAACTTTGTCTAATTAAATTCTATAACTTTGTCTAATTACATTCTATAACTTTGTTTAATTACATTCTGTAACTTTGTCTAATTAAATTCTATAACTTTGTCTAATAACATTCTATAACTTTGTCTAATTACATTCTGTAACTTTGTCTAATTACATTCTATAACTTTGTCTAATTAAATTCTATAACTTTGTCTTATTAAATTCTATAACTTTGTCTAATTACATATAACTTTGTCTAATTACATTCTATAATTTGTCTAATTAAATTCTATAACTTTGACTAATTACATTCTTTACATTCTATAACTTTGTCTAATCAAAGTTTATATCTTTTTCTCATGATAACATTTTCTGGCTGATGGTTGTCATTTTGTACTATGGTAATAATATTATTGCATATTATTTTCATTTGACATTGATAATTTTGCTATTGACCATATCTGGTGGATCGTTTCACAAAGATCTGTATCTGTAGCCAGCCATTATACTTAACAGTCTTATATAGAAACACAAGTGTTTACAGTAATCCTACCTTTCCATGACTTTGGTCTTTACAGGTTTTCATACACATTTTCATTAAAAATTAAAATATGGCTATCTAGATCTGCTCTATATATTCTACATGAAAATAGTTTCTTGGATATATATAACTTACTTATCTGGTCTGTTTTTCTCCAAAGCTACTTCAGTAAACAGAAATATATTTTTCTAAGCCTTATTGATCCAAGTGGATAGTGACTATTATTTATCAATTCATATTTTCAAACATAAAATCAGGGTCAAAGAGACACTTGAGATGATCGAGATTAAATCCTCGTAGCATTGATCTAATTCCTGATCTGGTATTACTGACAGGAAACTTGTAAAGCTGGCCATGCAGCAAATATAGTCAAGTATACAGAGAAATCTGTACATTATAGTAAGGTGCAATACTCTCTCAGTAAGGACATATGCTACCTTACACATTTGTGACTGTATTTTGTGAGAGTTACCTCCAATAAAGGACTGATTAACAATAATTCAGGATGAGTGAATAAATATTTTCTTGTGTACATTTCAAATATATCATCAATTTATTAACAAAGTCTTATTTATCATAAATATTGAACTTGGATGTTTTGTCTAGCTACATTTTGATTGACTTAAATTATTGATATGCAACCTAACTTGTGACTCCTACCTGTCGTCCTGAGAGTTATCTGCCTTAACTAATTTCTCCTTATTAATGCCGACGCGCTCAAGGTCATGTGTTAGTCTGTCCATCTCATTCTTCATCTGTTGGCTCTTTACTTTCTCATTCACCAGGTCCTAAAAATTAAACAAATGGATATAAATGGCTCAAATAAATGAATTTCAATGGATGAAGGGATATGACTGGCTGCAGTGTAAATACTGTATACTTATACAGGATATTTTTTTGCTATGGTTTAATTAACGTCTTTTTCGCCCTTCATAATTACTGCAAATTTATCACAATAATGAAAATAACTACTCAACATACTATACACAATAATAGCATGTGAAGGGTGAAATAAACACGAAGAAAAAACCCAGATTCTACACGAGAAAACCTAACTGGATGAGGTTTCCTGGTATACAGTGGAAGGCTGATTTAGAATGAATGGAATAAATAATTGAAAGACCAAATTGATGAATGAATGATGAATATATAGGTTTTCAAAAAAACATCCATTGATTGTTGCTATGAATGCATGGTGCCCCAAATTTAACAACAATTTGTACTTTGTTACCTTAGAGCAAGTTATTTACTCAGACTAAATTTCACAATTTTTCTCACAACTAGAAAATTTCATAATCACAAATCTTTTTCAGGACTCAGACATCATGTGGAGAAGTAAATTGTGGATGTAGTTTCCAGTGTTATTAATTTTTCATCTATGGAAGAGGGGAGATAATTCTAGATGGCTTTTTGTACAAAAAGTAAAAATAGTGTTGTTGTTTTTTTAAATCCAGATACCCGGTATTGATATATTAAAGAATAAAACAATACACTCAATAAGTGATTGTCATGTTGACCTCCCATTATGCAAAGGTAGACTTAAATAACAAATTGCAGATGTAACAAAGTCTGTGCCCTCACCACTGACTTCCATGCATGGAGCTTATTTTATGCATACAATTTCCACTATGAAGGAATATATATACTGTATACCGGAAAATATAATATACAATATTAAGAAATCACATTTGCCAACATAATATAAGATATTAAGTAATTACATATGAATAGTGAAATTAATATCTGACTTGGCGACAGTTTCATTTGAAGACATACCCCTGTGTGCAGGTGCCATAAAGCTGAAGGTGTTGAACTAGAATAGACCCTAGTGGTCTACACTTATTTTATACATTTATTATAAATTAATACAGCATCACTAACCTCTTAGTTCATACAAATGTATTAAATACCCCAGGTAGCACTATATATAGGTTACCCATACAGGTTTATACTGGTGAGTACATTCCAGATTTCTCTAGCTTTTTCAGTTTGCACATGTACAAGCAAATTATTACTGTAGGTGTTTCATCAAACTATATTTGGTAAAGTGGTGAGACCCTCAGCATTCAACTTGTCAAATCAGGGTTTCAGTTTAACTCTATATGGGATATGTGACGTCCTACAATGGCCTATGGCTCTCATAACATTTGCGCCTTGCCATATAGAGGGGTCAGAATTTGTGATTTTTGCCTGATTTATGTCTTACAAAAATTATTGCAATTAGCAACATGAATAGGCTTTATTACGGCCTAACGAACAGTTGAATACATTTACATTTTTTCAACAATGCAAACTATTTCTTTTTATAACTACTTTCATTACATTTTTATGATCATTGAACCTTCATAGCTCCTTTTTATGCCTGCAATAGTATTATTCCTTTTTATGCCTGTAATAGTATTATTCCTTTTTATGCCTGTAGAAGTATTATTCCTTTTTATGCCTGTAGTAGTATTCCTTTTTATGCCTGTAGTAGTAGTATTCCTTTTTATGCCTGTAGTAGTAGTATTCCTTTTTATGCCTGTAATAGTATTATTCCTTTTTATGCCTGTAGAAGTATTATTCCTTTTTATGCCTGTAGTAGTAGTATTCCTTTTTATGCCTGTAATAGTATTATTCCTTTTTATGCCTGTAGTAGTATTATTCCTTTTTATGCCTGTAGTAGTATTATTCCTTTTTATGCCTGTAGAAGTATTATTCCTTTTTATGCCTGTAGTAGTATTATTCATTTTTATGCATGTAGTAGTAGTATTCCTTTTTATGCCTGTAGTAGTATTATTCCTTTTTATGCCTGTAGCAGTATTATTCCTTTTTATGCATGTAGTAGTATTATTCCTTTTTATGCCTGTAGTAGTATTATTCCTTTTTATGCCTGTAGTAGTATTATTCCTTTTTATGCCTGTAGCAGTATTATTCAAGCAAATGTTATTTTTGCAATCACTTTATATTATAGACCCATGAAAAAAAGACAAAAACATCTCTACAAAAATATTCATCTAGGTACATCATAACCATGCAGAAATCAAAGGGAAGCTACTCTGTTAGTCTGGAGCTCTCTTACTGCCAGCAGACATTACACCAAACTAAATTACCATCCACTTCCTCAACAGGTAAAAAGCTCGGTATTCTAGGAACAGGGAAGTTTCACAACTGTAGCTATAAAATATATGCCCACAGTGATTGGACATTGAAAGCATGGCTAAATTAACAAATCATACCAATATAAAGGAAATTAGTAAAAATCACCCCAGAAAAAACTAGAGTTTTGTTTTTGTGAACAAATACATATGTCTCTCCTTATTAGCCAATAGACAAACTTTGGTATAAAAAGTTAACAAAGGGCCATATCTCTTTATATAGTGGGGCACGCGACCCGAATTTAGAATACGACACACCTACTTCCCAAGATACATTAAAACTGTAGTAAGTTTGGTCAACATAGGTGAAATAACATGGAAGTTATGCCGTGGACAAACTTCAGTATTAAAATAAACAAAGGGCCATAACTCTGTCTATAGTTGGGCATAAAACCTGATTTTAGTGCGAGAGATTCCGCCTTCCCAAGACACATAAATATGGTAAGTTTGGTCAACGTAGGTGAAATAACATGGAACTTATGCTCCGGACAAACTTCGGTATTAAAATTAAACAAAAGGTCATTACTCTGTACATAGTGAAGCACAAGCGCTACTTTCAGTACACTGCACACCTTCTGTGGGTGATGCAGGAATACTTCAAGTTTGATCAAGATATTTTTAACGGTTTAAAATTTACAGGCCTGACAAGAATTTACTGAAAATGTTGCACTTATTTGACCTTTGACCTTGAAGTGAAGGTCACAGTGACCTAATTCCAGTGCACTGCACACCTTCTGTGGGCGATGCATGCATACCTAAAGTTTCATCAAGATATCTTTGACGGTTTAAAAGTTATGGCCGCGACAAGTTGCGATTAGAAGAACCAGAAGAAGAAGAAGAACCAGTACTAATACAATATGTCATTCGAAGGGGAGACATAATTAACATTAGTCACACACAGAATATTCCAAATACAAGTATATATACCTATTGCAGGAATTCAATTTAATGATTTATGAGTCAAATTCCATGTTCCCCATATTATGTATAGATTTTAGATTTGGGTCCTTAAATAATTACAATGTGATTAATAAAAAAGAAAATCGATCTTTTTTCTTCTTCTTGAAATTGAATATGGAAACCTGAATATTATTCCCTTGTTTATCCTATAGGATTGAGTAATATTAACAAACATTCTATGTCAATTTCATAATAACCATACAGACTTTATAATAAAAGTTTCAAAAAAACAGAAAAAAAACATGTTTTTGAAACTGTATCCCTGAATGGAGTGCTATAAAGGGAGATTACTCACCTCCCGGAGTGCTGCTAGAGTCCGCTTTGTGAGGTTAGATTGCTGCTGTAACTCTTTGTTTTCCTTCTCACTTTCCTTCACGCTTGCCGCTGTGTCTTTCTGTCTATCTATCTGCTGTTTCAGGTTACGATTTGATCGTTCTAATGCGCTATGTTTCGTGGTCAAGTCGTCCAGTTCGGAATCCTTTAACTCAATCGACTGTTTTAACCGATTTTTCTCTTTCGTTAAAACAGATTTGTCTTTGGCAAGCCTCGACACTTCACCATCCAACTCGATGTTGGTTTTCTCCAACTCATGGAGACGTTTTGTTGACACTTTCAGAGTTTCCACACTTTTCTGTAATTTTTCGTTTTCAATTTCCATTTCAGTGTTGTCTTGCTCCAGCTGCTGCAGACGTTTGGTGGTCATCTCAAGTGATTTCTCCAGCCGTTGATTTTCGTTATCAAGGTCAAGCAAGTCGAGCTCCATCTGTTCATGTTTGACCTGCTGGCTACGCTGAGCTTCCAAACTTTTTTGGAGCTGCTTGATTTCACGATTCAACATTCCTTTATCATTTTCTAACTCAACAAGTTTTGAAGAGGAGTTCCGAAGAGACTCTAAACTCCTCTGGAGTTTTTGGTTATCTACAGTTAAATTAATGTGTTCCTTTTCCAGATGATCCATCTTTTGTAAAGCACTTTGAAGAGACTCAACATTTTTCTTAAGTTTCCTATTTTCAACTTCGAAATCAGAATTTTCCTGTTCAATTTCCTCGAACTTATCACAAGTTAACTGTAGAGTTGCAATTGTTTTATGTAAATCCGAGTTTTCTTTTTCCAGATTTGCACTGTCTGTTTCTAATTCCGATAACTTATCTGTACTTGCCTTCACTTTATTATACGACTTTTGCACCTGCCTATTTTCGAATTCCAGCTTGGATAACAATTGGTTTTTCGCTATCACTGTTTCATGCATACGTTTGTTTTCCCGCTCAAGATCCTTGAGCTTTGCATCGTTGGTCTGTTCACTTCGTGCTCGAACAGTTTCCACGGTATTTGTCAGGTGGTCATTTTCACGTTCTAACTCTCGAACCTGTCTATCAGCACTTTCCTTGACTGTCTCTAGTGTTTGTGACAACTGTTCTCTCTCATGACTGAACTGGTCTAGCTTTTGTTCTAACTCAATCTGTGACTGTGACATTTCTCGATTGGATTCCTGTAGTTTCTCGACCTTCTTGGCCAATCGCTGGTTCTCTTTTTCCAGTTCTAAAGTCAATGTTGTATTTTCTATAAGTGCACTTTCCCTAGCCTCCTCAACTTTCTGTAGTAATCGCTGATTCTCTAACTCCAGTCTCAGAATCTTGGCGTTGGTCGTTTCGTTGAGTTGATTGGACAATGAACCTCCCATACCTACAAAAACATGAGTACATTAAACGATGAACAATTACTGGACCAAGATCAATACAGACTCCATTTTCTAACATTCATAGGTGTGTATACCATACTTACTAATTAGAGGACCCTAGGGCTTTTTCTGTGTGGGCAGAAAACATTTTCAAAATGACATTGTACCTTTTATCGTGTATCTCAGTTTTTCCTTTATCTGTTACAGATTTCGTTACTTATAACCAGTGGGTTTACCTTCTGTTGTAAAATCTAGTACATGTGAAACAAACATCACACTGTAAAATCTAGTATGTGAAACAAACATCACACTGTAAAATCCACTTTGCCTAATAGGCCTAGTTTGCCTTTATATGGATATAAACAGATTCAAACCAATTCCCTTGTGTTCATTCTCACACATAACTTATTTGTTGGCACTCACTCAAATGGATGGCTTTCATATTCAATTAAATAAACATGTTCGCTATCCTCTATAGGCAATGTATGTATACATGTATATCTTGTGTGAGTTTTAAAGTCAGATGAAAATAAATGACATCTTTTTCCATGTTTATTACACTTTTTATTCTCTCAAAAAATGTAATCCTTTGGTGCTCTTTTTAAGCAATATTTAGATTTTTTATTTTGCCCTTGCAATTGATATTTAATAAAGAAACATATCCCTATATTGAGGTAAAGTTTGATTACTGCTGGGCCTGTGTTAGTGGAATATTAACCTGCTATCCTGAGGCGCGCAGACTCCAGCTCCTTCTCAATGTTCGTACTCTCATTCATGTTAGTTTTCTTTTCAAACTGCAGGTTAGCATTTTCCTCCGTGAGAATCTGTATCTTCTGTCGATCGGTATCTCGTTCCTGGAACAAACACACATCACCAACAAAACTCAGTCTGTGCTACTGTGCATCAAGAAATCAAGAAATGTTATAATTGTGAGATATGCTTGTGATTTTGATTTCACAAAGGGAATGGCAACAGAAGTGGAGATATTGAACAGCGAGATCAGGATTTAAACCCAGAACTACGGATCTCTAGACAAGTGCTTTCACTAACTTGTCTCTATGAGCATCAGTGATAGACCCCATTGAGTTCCAATACAGAAGTAATTCCCGATATGTATGCCTTGTTGAAATGTATTTTAGAAATATTTCATTCTTCTCAAGATAAAAACACAAAAATATCTCGAAAATGTAGACAACCGGGTACATACAGAAAATTTCAAATTACTTCTTTTACTTTTTGTTGTGATACCGACAAAATGAATAACATAAAAGTTTTGTATTCAAAACATGTAACAATGAATGCAGACAAACTTCATTGAGGGGCCACTTGACAAATCACACTCTCTACACAAGTATTTTCAGACACTGTTTTAGAGATCCAAGTCAGACCCCAGATTGGGTTCAAACACTCTGGAATCTTGTGTTTAACTGGGCTGTTTAATTCTCAATGACCGGGGACATAAGGATGTATTAAAATGCACACCTTTCATACCCTGGTGTGTGTAACTCACCTTGGCCTGTTCCTCCACCTGCTGCCTGTATCGTCCGAGCTCATTTTCCAGCGCGATGACAGTCTCCACACGTTTGTGACAGCTGTCCAGCTGTTCCTGAAGCATGTTCTTGGTTTCTATCAGAATCGCATTGTCTTCTCGCAGTTCCTGTAACCGTTAAACATTATCTTCACAGAAACCCCTCAAATAATACCATTAAATGTAACCATTAAACATTAACCCTCAAATAATACCATTAAATGTAAACATTAAACATAACCCTCAAATAATACCATTAAATGTAACCATTAAACATAACCCTCAAATAATACTATTAAATGTAACCATTAAACATAACCCTCAAATAATACCATTAAACATAACCCTCAAACATAACCCTCAAATAATACCATTAAACATAACCATCAAACATAACCCTCAAATAATACCATTAAATGTAACCATCAAACATAACCCTCAAATAATACCATTAAACATAACCCTCAAATAATACCATTAAACATAACCATCAAACATAACCCTCAAATGTCACCATGGAACACCAGTGAAAATATCTCACACAAGTTTCCTTTCTACAGAATTTTAGTGAAACAAGTTTCTTGTGATGCTTTTCTCTTAGGTGATTTACTTCACTTTGCACTTTTTCTAATTTCTGTCACAAAATAAAGTAGAATAAACTTAGAGAAACTGAGACCATTTTCGTGCCTTAAATTGAAGACACGACGTAATCATGTAGTTACTCAAGATGTAACAATAGTGTATAATTACACATCGAAAATGTAGGTGATGGAGTTATAAGGCTGAGTAACAGTCCGACCCTATCATAAATAAGCTTATCACTCAATATTTTATTGAGATTCCGTGAATACAGATCTATAGTATGTGACAACCCAGAAATGTCTTTTACCTCTGCTGATGTTTTACTATGGTTTATAGTTACCCCGGGTATAAGGAAAGTTTGATGCATCGGAATTGTATAAAATGACAAAATTTCACATAGTTCCTTATAACCTAACTCATCTTATTGAAGGAAAATAACTGTATAAACTTACATCTACTCTGAAAACATGAAAATTAAAAATAGATGCACAGCATGTAAAAACTTGAAAATGTCAAGTTCTTCCAGCAAACTGTCCTAATTTACTAGGATAATGATATCCCCTATCTCCCTCACCAAAGGCGATTAATTGTGTAAACTTACATCCACTCTAGACTTGTAGAATTCCAGCTCATTCAATTTCTCCTTCATCTTTGTGATCTCACTCTCGTAGCTCTTCACTTTGCCAAACTGCAACCAACAAAACATTACAGTTACTTCCCTTGTGTTGTTCATCACAAGTTATACAGAGCATTGAATTACAATTTTTTGAAATATTAATTTCAAATTCATCGCGATAACTGTGTTAATCAGGTGTGAATTTAAATGTCAAATCTGTATTTCATAATTTACGTAAATATTTGTGTCATGGTCAGACAACATTAGGCGATTTCTAGGAAATTTCTTAAAGGAACAATTTAGTGAAGTAAGTTTTTTTAATAACCTTGTCACAAAAACTCTTCATGATTCTATAGTTTGATACTCTTTATGAACAATTATGTCGACAAATTGTACAGCCCTACGTTTTAGCGGCAGCTGTCGGTGAATTTCTAGCTAACAAAAATGTCTTTTCAGCCGAGGAGAGAATGTAGCGTCTTGCTATATTTGCCTAGTCGTTCTGAATACAAGTATATGCATATATTCTGAATCAAAATAATTCTTTAACAGCATCTAAAACATCGTTATAAATGAGTGATCTATTTAACGCTCAAACCTATTGATATCGTACTTTCTGCGGTTTGAAATTCTCCCTGCGGCACCCTCTCAGTGCGGCACCCTCTCAGTGCCTGCATGCTCTTACTGAACCTCATTTTATTCAAATCCAATTGTGAACAGAAATATCAGATTCGAGGTATATATTATGATATTTATAATTCTTACTCGCGATGTATTGTGTAAACTCAAAAATGAGCTATGTGTGAACTCAGACTCATAACTGACACTGTGTTGTCGGTCAACAGCGTAGTGCTGTACATGTTTACTTCTCACTGCAAGGCCCGAATATTGCGCTATTTCGGTTGTAGCTATTTTTATCATCAGCTTTCCCAAAAGATGGAACTGACCACACTGGACATTGGCTTCAGGTCATTTCATTATCAACTACGTAAACTTTTGTTGGGAGATACATATTTTCAGTATCGACTTGATTTTCAGGTAATCACCTGTATCATATTATATACCCGTTTCTTTTGTTTTGCTCTCTTACAAAATAAAATGCTCTAATATTTATATCATATTATGATAAAGAGCCAATATTTAACTTTAACCTGTAGAAACGACCTCATCTATCTCATTTAGACAGGTTTACACTGAATATACCCTGAATTCCTTCGCAGAGTAAAACCAGTTTTTGGTGGTCTAAACCTAATGTATATGCCAATATAATAAATTTTTGCTTTGTAACTGAAATTACTGAGTAACATTATTGGAATCTGGAGAGTGAATTTTGTGGACAACAATGCCCAGATTAACAAGAGTCCCCAGTACTAGATTGGAATTTGGAGAGTGAATTTCGTGGACAACAACGCCCAGATTAACAATAGTCAACAGTGCTAGATTGGAATCGGGAGAGTGAATGTTGTGGACAACAACGCCCAGATTAACAATAGTCCAAAGTACTAGATTGGAATCTGGAGAGTGAATTTTGTGGGCAACAACGCCCAGATTAACAATAGTCCACAGTACTAGATGGGAATCTGGAGAGTGAATTTTGTGGACAACAAAGCCCAGATTAACAAGAGTCCACAGTACTAGATTGGAATTTTTAGAGTGAATTTTGTGGACAACAACGCCCATATTAACAATAGTCCACAGTACTAGATTGGAAGCTGGAGAGTGAATTTTGTGGACAACAACGTCCAGATTAACAAGAGTCCACAGTGCTAGATTGAAATCTGGAGAGTGAATTTTGTGGACAACAACGTCCAGATTAACAAGAGTCCACAGTGCTAGATTGAAATCTGGAGAGTGAATTTTGTGGACAACAATGCCCAGATTAACAATAGTCCACAGTACTAGATGGGAATCTGGAGAGTGAATTTTGTGGACAATAACGCCCAGATTAACAAGAGTCCACAGTACTAGATTGGAATTTTTAGAGTGAATTTTGTGGACAACAACGCCCATATTAACAATAGTCCACAGTACTAGATTGGAATTTGGAGAGTGAATTTCGTGGACAACAACGCCCAGATTAACAATAGTACTGAATATACCCTGAATTCCTTCGCAGAGTAAAACCAGTTTTTGGTGGTCTAAACCTAATGTATATGCCAATATAATAAATTTTTGCTTTGTAACTGAAATTACTGAGTAACATTATTGGAACCTGGAGAGTGAATTTTGTGGACAACAATGCCCAGATTAACAATAGTACACAGTACTAGATTGGAATCTGGAGAGTGAATTTTGTGGACAACAATGCCCAGATTAACAAGAGTCCACAGTACTAGGTTGGAATTTGGAGGGCGAATTTTGTGGACAACAACGCCCAGATTAACAAGAGTCCACAGTACTAGGTTGGAATTTGGAGGGCGAATTTTGTGGACAACAACGCCCAGATTAAGAAGACTCCACAGTACTAGATTGGAATTTGGAGAGTGAATTTCGTGGACAACAACGCCCAGATTAACAATAGTACTGAATATACCCTGAATTCCTTCGCAGAGTAAAACCAGTTTTTGGTGGTCTAAACCTAATGTATATGCCAATATAATAAATTTTTGCTTTGTAACTGAAATTACTGAGTAACATTATTGGAATCTGGAGAGTGAATTTTGTGGACAATAACGCCCAGATTAACAAGAGTCCACAGTACTAGATTGGAATTTTTAGAGTGAATTTTGTGGACAACAACGCCCAGGTTAACAATAGTCAACAGTACTAGATTGGAATCTGGAGAGTGAATTTTGTGGGCAACAACGCCCAGATTAACAATAGTCCACAGTGCTAGATTGGAATTTGGAGAGTGAATTTTGTAGACAACAACGCCCAGATTAACAATAGTCCAAAGTACTAGATTGGAATCTGGAGAGTGAATTTTGTGGACAAGAACACCCAGATTAACAATAGTCCACAGTGCTAGATTGGAATCTGGAGAGTGAATTTTGTGGACAATAACGCCCAGATTAACAAGAGTCCACAGTACTAGATTGGCATGGAACTGACCTTTTCCCTGAGGATGTCCAGTTCGTCTCGAAGTGATCGTGCTGACCGGGCGTCCTGAATCAGTTCTACGTTCTGATAAAATCAAAAGGCAAAATTAACATCTGACCGTACATACCTGGAACTAACCCTTTAATTTATGTGACTTTTTATTTTTCAAAAATTCAAAAAATCCGGTGTAATGGCTGAAAAAGGTAGTTCTGTGGTAGATATTTATACGTCAACATTATATTCCTTATAATTTTTCAGGAAAACATTTAGTTGCTAGTAATTGTTGAAGTTTTATGGAGTTTTAAATCATCATTTCAAGTTTCTATGCAGAATCCACCTCAAGTTTTCAAACAGTACATATCCCTTATTATAGCACCTAAAAAAAAAGAGTATTTGGCACCATGTCACACCTGGGCCCGTATTCATGAAACCGTTCTCGTGCTCAAACATGGCTTTTGTGCTCAAGCCTGATTTCTTGTTCTGGTTATAACTCAATAAATAAATCTGATTTTGTCCCCGAAGCTGAATACTGTTTTCGATGATTTCATTTGACTTTTTGATCGTTTGACATTCTTTAAGTGAGTTACAAGAAAGTTGGTTTGAGCACAAGATCCATGCTTGAGCATGAGGTTTCATGAATACAGGCCCAGGATATTGCCAGAATTGTCTCTGACTGGTCAACACCCAGAGCTTCACAAAATAGATTTCTAATTTTTCCAGTGTTAAGAGCTGTTTCCACTGGTAAAGAGTTAATATTTGTAACTGCTGACTACATAGGGCCTCACCTCATTCCGTAATTTGGCGACAATGATTTTATTCTCCTCCTGGTCGTCCTTCAGGTCTGTGATGAGTTCCTGTTTATCCTCCCTATGACACCACAGAACAACGTTAATGTATCACATGGTACAGAGACAAACAATTACTCACATAAGTCGAAACACGAAAATATCAAACAGTCCAAACATTTACGAAAATATTAAGTAGGAAAGGGCATCTTGTTCGGGACCAATGTTAAATATCAGGATTCCTATTTTAAATCCTTACGCCATGTTGTACCCTGGGTAATAACTGTTACCGTATCAGAGAGTTCCCATCCTCTTTCTAAATGAGGACTTCAGACCAGCAATGACTGTTGTCTCACACTGACTTAGCCCAGACCATCTAACTCTTGGTAAGTGATCTTTGACTTTTGTGGAAATTGTGACTTGTATGGGACCTAGAACCTAAAATGGGACTTTGGACTGGTGTGGAATCTAAGATCGGTATGAGTTGTATAATCTAAGATCTGAACAGATGTATGGTATGAGTTGTATATTCTAAGATCTGAACAGATGCATGGTATGAGTTGTATAATCTAAGGTCTGAACAGATGGATGGTAGGAGTTGTATAATCTAAGATCTTAACAGATTTATGGTATGAGTTGTATAATCTCAGATCTGAACAGATGGATGGTAGGAGTTGTATAATCTAAGGTCTGAACAGATGGATGGTATGAGTTGTATAATCTAAGATCTGAACAGATGAATGGTATGTGTTGGATCTGACACTTGAGGCATTTATTTGAAAATTGGGAATTACATGGAAGCCTATACTGGTATGGAATCTAGAACAGGACCTGGTACTTGTGTGGGACCTAGGACACGACTTTAAATTGGACTTTAATGGGACGTGTGTAGGACAAGGACAGGACCTTGGACATTATATGGCACCACTGTGGGTCTAACACTTACAGTTCTTGTCGTAGCTTTCGTATCCTGGCCTTGGCATCGGCCAGCTCGACCACCGTATGATGTTTGTCGGGACTGGATGTGGGAGGGGTCACATTGAGCTGGGGTGTTTCCTGTATCTGCGACTGGTAGAAATCACGCTCCTGAACCAAGTCACTAGTCGCCTATAACAAAATTCGCTGTCTAGTTTATTTTTCTTCATAATTTTTAATAGAAAGTCTTACAAAAATGTCTATATGTGACCTTATCTTTTCTGGATAAACTTGGCAAATAGATGTAAAATTCGAGTAAGTCATGCCATTACACATTTTAATCAGTGACTGAGATGGATATTTTGTCCGGACTTAAGAGCCATATTTACAATGGTTAGTAAATTAACCTACCTCAACCAAATCATCACGTTCCCGCAGGACTCGGGTCAAGTGATTGAACATCTTTTCCGTGTACGTCTCCAGATGTTCCGTCGGTTCCATAGACAACACACATTCAGTATCATCCGTAACCTGCAGCAAAAACACCCAAAAAATTTGTTTTCACAGTGTACAATCAGCTATACCAAATCTGAAACAAAATCCGCAAAATAAAAACTTTTGATATCGAAACATATGCTTGTTTGCCATAACTGACCCATTTACATAACAATGTATCATGAAAGCATATAGTATAAGGTTGTAGAGAAGCAGATAACTACCACCTTGAGGTAGACACCAGCTTGAAGGTTTATTGGCCACATGTATTGCCAGACACTCGGTGTTAAAAATCAGGGTCAAACATCCCTTGCGTAATTGAAAACAAGTCTGACCTGTGTACAGACAATGATTGAGGCCCCCTACATAATTGAAAACAACCACAATGAATTTCATCATAAACATCCACAAAGAATGACTGGGAAGTAAAGCACTTCCCCATACTTGACAATCTTTCAAGAAATTTTCATCAAGACAAACTGTACAGCAAGTTCTGAAACAGTCTAAATATAGTACTAGCAATGACCTGTATTTAAATACACTTGCATCCCTAGATTTCAGAAGCTTTACAAATTATTGCAGCAAAATACTATAATTTACTCATATTTAGCGAAATACTGCATCTGATTGACTGTAAAACAAACAAGACAAAGTAATACAAGCTACCCACATGTCAAAGAATGTAGCCATCTTATTGCTGTTATTCAGACTTAACAATTAAGAAAATAAAAATCCCAAGATACATAAGTATAGCATGTTATGTAACTGTAAGTGAAATAGCAAGGTAGTTATACTGTGGCATACCTTCATCATTAAGTATGAACAAAGGGCCACAACTCTGTATATTTACATTTGTGCTGCAACCCACTATATGAACATTACCAGCAGATTACAGCAGAAATGCATTTCATTTGAGTATGAACGCAAAAACTCTCGTGATGTAATATGTGGTTTACTTATGACGTCATAGATTAACCTTGTTCAATGAGAATCTTGTTACTTTCCTTTGATAACATGGAGAATGCCCCTACGTCAAACGCTCAAATAACTACAGTTAATTATTGGCGCCAATTTTGTTTAAAAATGTCTGTTCCGCCAATGTCGTTTAAAGGAAGACGCATATACAAAATGCAGTAAATACGTTATTTATTTAAGACCAAATAAATCAAATTAAACAACTGCCCTATAGTAAAAATGTAAATATATGGAATGAACGTTGTTTTTTAAATTTTAATGCCGGTATGAAAGCAAATTGATCCATATTAAAATGAAGCCCTGTAACCCACATACCGGCATGAAAATTTAAAAAATGCCGTTCAATCTATATATAAACTGATAAAAGAGACCTGATTCAGTATGCCACACTATGCTATTCCACGAGGAACCAACAAAGTTTGAGGTCCAATCTGGTATATACGAGGCAGGACTTATAATAAACATTTACCTCCTTGATGTGTTCCACGATGGCATGTTGGACGTCGACGTCGAGACGTTTGATTCCATCAATAAAGTCCTCTTTGCGCTCACACTGGACAGCACAGCCAAGGATAAGGAGGATCGCCTTCTTAAGCTCCTGGAAACTACCGTCTGTAACACCCAAAAAGTAAGAAATCTGAACATGAACACATCTAGATCTAGTAACCATTAATTACCCCGCTCATTGCCTCTTATTCATAATTTGAGCAAATCCTTATGCAATGATAATAACATCAAGCATGAACTCTAAAATCAAAGTTCAATGATCTCGAAAAGACACTACCATGAAACAGTCCCAAATCCTAATTCTTTTTATTCTACTTATCATTTTAACCGAGTTGGACCAAATTTGAGCAAAGTATCATGTTTTCAATAGATTGAAAAATGTTAAAAATTTGACATTGGACATGCAAAACCCATTCAGCCTAGATTTCAACTGAGGTGAAGTTTAAAACATTCTAAAATATGAAAAATGTTCTCTGCCCGAAAGATATCAAGAGTGGAAGGGGGAGAGAGGAGGTAAGCAGATAGAGGGATGGCCAGTTCTAACATCACTATAGAAGGGCACTGAGAGAGAGATATAATTGTGTTAAATTCCGTACAGGTGGCCAGTTATTCTTACTCTCGGTATTAATATTATGACTACTATACGTACAGGCAGACAAGCCCTGGGGCTTTATATATTACTATAACCGACAACCTATAGCCAGATCTCGTCCAGGCAGACAAGCCCTGGGGCTTTATATATTACTATAACTGACAAACTTTAGCCAGATCTCGTCCAGGCAGACAATTGCAAGCCCTGGGGCTTTATATATTACTATAACCAACAGCCTATAGCCAGATCTCGTCCAGGCAGACAATTGCAAGCCCTGGGGCTTTATATATTACTATAACCGACAGCCTATAGCCGGATCTCGTTCAGGCAATAAGCTTGTATTGGTGGCAGAGATTTAAACAGAAGACCAGTTTAAAAAATCTCCTGTTCCATTGGGATGAGAACATTCCACACTAATAATGAATTTATTGAGTAGATAATTGAAATAATTTGCCCAAATCCTCTTCTACAATTACCAGGGAGAATGTCGGTAATTACCCATTTTTCTGCAATTTAAGTGAATTGCTTTGTGTTAAAGTGTTTAGTGTTGGATCGTGGAGTGAGAGGAAGTTGAGTTTACAATGAAGAATAAACCTCAACCAAAAGTCAGGTTGTTATTATAAATCCTTGGTCTTTTCTTGTATATTTCCAGGTGTTTTCCAGTGTCATCTGGAAGGAACCCTAATTGGGATAAATTAGTGCCATGTCGGATAAAATTACGGAGATAAATTGGTATAAAAATAATCTATTGAAACACAATCATTAAAATATGTAAGGATGTCATATAAAAATATCACATTATGAATTCAGAAAAATAATAACGTCAATTTATTAAATTTTTCAACCTTAATATTGTCATATGCAAAATGCCTTTCCAGGTCCTATCAGTTACATCCGGTTTGTTGCTGTGTCCTGGAGTCACGTACATTTTTATCTTAATATCGCATCAAATTAAACATGAAAATGAATTTGTCTGGAAAAATAGGTGAAATTTTATTAGAAAAGGAATGAGTCAGAAAAATAAAGTCAGCTAAACACAATTGTAGCTTAACTCACTCGCCCCTGAAATTTCATAATGAGCTATTCCATCCTTTGCATTGGAAGAGTTTAAATGTGTCTTCAGGGGTGAATGATTTAAATACCCCATTATTGAAAACTAATGCATAGTATCATCCTCAATTCATTGGACTGCAGTGAGGCGACTATACCGTATTTAACTGTAAATACGTCCCCTCTCTCTATTAAACCCCTACCAAACTTTGGTAAAAGTCCAGGAGCACGGTGGGTGCTTGCAATTAAGCTTTCCCATTCCCCATGTTTAATATATTTCAGCTGAGCAGATGACACGTGTAAGTCTGAACTATGTTTCTGTCGCAGCTTGTTGCTAGTGTGAGTTAAATCCTTCCAACAGTCATCCTAATGGAACCCACTTTGACTTTTAAAATCCTCACTTTCTATTCTAATATGCTAATGATATCCCCTAATAGACCCAACACCTGGGTTAAAACATACCAGGTCTTCTAATGATTGCCTGCTCAGTTGTCTGGCTTGAACATGAAACTAAATGGGGAGACTTCGGTAACAACACAATTGTATACAAGTATATTGAAAGCGGAGAAATCCCAAAGAACAATTTGTTTCTGTGTCTGTTGCCTTTTCCAATGATATTATACATGAAGCGGTGATATATCTGAAAAAAGACCCCAGAGAAAAGATGCAGATACCACACAGAAAAACAGAAGAGATACTCTATTGAAAAGATATAGATATGCAGAGAGGTATAGGCCTATGCTTCCTAGAGAAACGGAGATATCTGAAGTAGAAATATATATCTCCTGTCAGAGAAAAGAAACCATCTAAGGACGTATCCTAACCTCTATTACACATCACAAGCTAGTGGTCAAGAGTCCAGTGTTGGTCAGGACAACCCTTCACTACAGCCCTGTTTCTACTGAAGTGACTAGAAGTACATATCACATGTATATACCTGGTCTGTCTGTTGACAAACAAGTCCGAATAAATACAGGAACAAACACACACACCTCATTTGAGTAGGCTGTACGTACCCTCATAACCCTGAATGTACCTGTGTACATACGCACACTGTCTGATTAGCCGAAATAGCCTCAGCATACTACACACCTTCTTTGATTAACCAAACTAATCTCTGTTAAACAACTAGACACCACCTACATTTAATTTAACACTTACAGAATGTCTGTAGCTCAACTTATTCATTTAGATCTGTGTAAGACTAGGAAATATCACCAACGGCTCCTTTCTCTTCTCCATTTCCAACCCGACATCTTTCAATGACCTTCATGGCCCCTTATTCCTTTCTTTAATTTAAATTTCCTTGTCCACTTACTAACCCTTGATCGTTTAGTCCCTGCTCCAGTAACTTATCTGTCTTATAAACAACCTTCCTGACCATGATATTGAATTCACAAAACCCAGTATCCTCCGGTCCCAACCATGTGTCTCCTGCCCACCTCCCCCACCGACTCTGGTTCCTACCTTCTTCCTACCTCCTAAATAACCATCCCTTGGTACCTTGAAGCGGAAATAGGGACACTTAGTGATTTACCATTTTCTGGGTGATTACAGATGGGGCTGATATTTGGTAGCTTACCATTTTTTGGGTGATTACAGATGGGGCTGACAACGGGTAACTTACCATTTTCGGGTTGTTGACAGTTGAGGCTAACAATGGGTAACTTACCATGTTCGGGTTGTTGACAGATGAGGCTGACAATGGGTAACTTACCATGTTCGAGGTGTCGACAGATGAGGCTGACAATGGGTAACTTACCATGTTCGGGTTGTTGACAGATAAGGCTGACAATGGGTAACTTACCATGTTCGGGTTGTTAACAGATGAGGCTGACAATGGGTAACTTACCATTTTCAGGGTGTCGACAGATGAGGCTGACAATAGGTAACTTACCATGTTCGAGGTGTCGACAGATGAGGCTAACAATGGGTAACTTACCATTTTCAGGGTGTCGACAGATGAGGCCGACATTTGGCAGTTTCAGTACAAGTAATTGTTGTAACACCTCCTGAAACATAAATACAAATCAGAATTATGAGACAGCTTTATTCAGCACAGTGCAACACAGCATACCTCAATATTGAATTGGTTACTGGAAAAGAGATCCAGACAAGGGGGGACACAGCTAAGTTATCTAGACAAGGGGGGACAAAGCTAAGTTATCTAGAAAAGTGTTGACACAGCTAAGTTATCGGTATTAGACCAGCTGCTGACCTACACTGTTTGGGTATATTTAATAAAACTAGGTAACTTACCATGTTCGGTGTGTTGACAGTTGAGGCTAACAATGAGTAACTTTCCATTTTCGGGTTGTTGACAGTGGAGGCTAACAATGGGTAACTTACCATGTTCGAGGTGTCGACAGATGAGGCCGACATTTGGCAGTTTCAGTACAAGTAATTGTGGTTACACCTCCTGATAAATAAATACAAATCAGAATTATGAGACAGCTTTATTCAGCACAGTGCAACACACCATACCTCAATATTGAATTGTTTACTGGAAAAGAGATCTAGACAAGGGGGTACACAGCAAAGTGATCTAGACAAGGGGGGACGCATCTAAGTTATATAGACAAGGGGGGACAAGGTTAAGTTACCAGGCCGGGGGGGGGCCACAGCGAAGTGATATAGACGTGGGGGGCCACAGCTAAGTTATCGGTATTAGACCAGCTACTGACCTACACTGTTTGGGTATATTTAATAAAACTAGGTAACTTACCATGTTCGAGGTGTCGACAGATGAGGCTGACAATAGGTAACTTACCATGTTCGGGTTGTTGACAGATGAGGCTTACAATGGGTAACTTACCATGTTCGAGGTGTCGACAGATGAGGCCGACATTTGGCAGTTTCAGTACAAGTAATTGTTGTAACACCTCCTGAAACATAAATACAAATCAGAATTATGAGACAGCTTTATTCAGCACAGTGCAACACACCATACCTCAATATTGAATTGGTTACTGGAAAAGGTATAGAGACAAGGGGGGACAAAGCTAAGTTATCTAGGCAAGGGGGGACACAGCTAGGTTATGTAGACAAGGGGTGACAAAGCTAAGTTATATAGGCGAGGGGGGGACACAGCTAATTTATCTAGACAAGAGGGGACACAGCTAAGGTATCTAGACGAGGGGGAACACAGCTAAGTTATCAAGGCGGGGGGGACACAGCTAGGTTATGTAGACAAGGGGTGACAAAGCTAAGTTATATAGGCGAGGGGGGGACACAGCTAGGTTATGTAGACAAGGGGTGACAAAGCTAAGTTATCAAGACGAGGGGGACAAAGCTAAGTTATCAAGACGAGGGGGACAAAGCTAAGTTATCAAGACGAGGGGAACACAGCTAAGTTATCTAGACGAGGGGGGACACAGCTAAGTTATCGGTATTAGACCAGCTACTGACCTACACTGTTTGTGTATATTTAATAAAACTTTGATATTAGATAGTGATAAATCAGCCAAATATATTCCTTTTGAAATATACATATGGACAAAGGTATTTTCAGTTACCGTTGACTATTTTTTGTGTTTATGTGGGAAAATATGTTTGCGTGCAGTGTTGAATTTGCGGTTGAGATTGTAAAGAATGTTAGTGCTATTGATGGATTCACATCACTGTAAAAATCGTAAAAACAGCCCTGCTTACGCCGATATAAAAATTGACATATTATCAACGCATAATTGTCAAGGATCATTTAAGTACCTACTAGGCACAACTTTAATGAAATATGGGTCCTCACTTAACAAAACCTGATCTAAACTCCTAGCTAAATTTAAGGCTATTCTAGTTGTGAAGTTTAGAAATTGTACTTCTGATTGAATAATATTTTCAAACTAAATACTCATTACAACACATATATATATGTAAAGCTCTTAACCTCTGTGTGTAGCCCTAGGGTACTGACTTTAAACAAACTCAAATCTAACAACTTGAGGCCATGACAAATCAAATATAACGACTGTGGCACTTTTCCCCGCCCAAGTCCTTATTCACACGAATGCTGATCTTTTAAGTTTAAGATTAAACAATGTTCTTTTAAACTTTCAAACCAACCAGCACTCAGAAAAACTGACCAAAATCTTATCCAACTCAACAGACCAAAGTGACCGGTATCTTGACGTTAATTGGATCAGAATAAGTCAGACAATATCACGGTCAAGTAAGAGGATTATCTCCCTTTGTGGAACTCCTAACAAGCAGTATTAAGGAGAGCTTCTTACATAGTGTTAAATATTTGTTTATCGGCGAAAGAGTAAAGGAATGTAGAGTTTGTATGAGATATTAACAAAATGAGAGTCGGACTACTTGACATTCAGCTACCTCCACAAAACACAAGCTTTGTGTCCGAGATAATTCCCCTTCCCCTTGTTTGTACGTCCCGAGGTTGGGCGGTCAGACAGACTGACCGTTGTTTTGATTTACTGACCCGGATATAACCACCACACCACATCATGACGATTTGTAAGCCACAACAGAGTGGCCAAACATGTAATGCCCTGTACCTTTGACGCAAGCGGTTAAGTCATTGAAAAACGGAAATTTGAAATCCATTCAGGGTAAAATCTATATACAAGTTTAAATGTATATTTAAGGTTTAAATGTTTGTTAGGTCGAGTCGTAGATATTCAACCAACTTTTACACTGAAGGTATAGGTAATGTCAGTTCTTCTGGTCCCTCAGCTTGTACTGGCAGGAATCTGATGTATATGTCACGCACATCAAAAGGTCTTTTTCAAAACTCAAACTACCAGTATTTCATATTATTCTTGTCAATAAAAACCTTACAAATGCCTTGAGAGGCAGAGGACAAAAAGGGCAAGGATCTGGCCAAAATAATGACAGATAAAATTATAAGGTGAGGAACGGGTTTATGTAAAAAAAATATCTCAACATTTTCCTGATCCGTCCATCATGAAAATGATTTTGTAGGAATGTTTTATGGTTATAATCAGTGGGCTAATGGGGGAAAAGTCTTACTTATATCACCAGACACGGGGTTTTCACCAGAAACTATAGTTTAACCCATTCACCCCTAAAGTCACATTTGATCTTTATACCATATCAAAGACTGGGCAAGTCCAGTTTAAAAATATAGGGGTGAATGGGATCATCAATAAAATCTTTATCTATTTTGAAGAATTTTGAGGATATGGGACATTAAAGTAGATATTTAACAAGGCGTAATTGACGTTGTTTTGTATTGATGTTGTTTTGTATTTGGAATAAAGCCATACGATCAGGAATGCTTGAAAAATTGTTCTAACAGGTGCAGTTCCCGGCAGGTCCAGCCTGACCATTAGTCGATGCATGCCTACACCTAGGTATGTGTGTAAGTCTTTATATCAGCTATAATGATCAGGTGATAACACCTAGGATACAAATACTGTCTGTTCTATACACAACTTCACAGCCTTTAGTTTACCTTAACAATTACTTTTCAAGGAAAGAGAAATTGATTTACACAAATCTCTCAGCACAAACCATTTGTTAAAAGAGATAAATTCATTAGGATGATTTGGACCCCTCCCACTCACAGACCACCACAACACAATTTTTGCAAATGTTTCACATCTATAAACACTACTCTGACCAGTGATTGTAACAGACTGTTACAAAACTAAAGTAGTTTTAGAGTCAAGAACCTTTCTTTCTTTCAATTCTTTTAGTTTTAAAACAAGTATTTGCTTTCAGCAACACAATTGAAAAAGATCCCATAAAGCATATCGCATATCAAAAAATCTTGATGTGTGTTTCTTTGGTATGATTTGTGTAAGGCCTAGGGTTAATATAGTACCCCTACCAGTGTTTATTGGTACTGAAAAACATGTTCAGTATTGTTACTTAACAATGGCATGTGAAATGTATGGGTTTTCTCTTTGTGTCTCTCCTGACTGCCTTTAACATAAAGGCAATGTTGAAATTTCTCAATGCTTGTTCTCTTCCACCAGGGTCAAATGTCCACGATGAAATGACAATTGATATCTGCTGGATTCCTTTGTACCTGCTTGCATGGTTGCACATGGTGTTGAGCATCAATGTCATAGTCAAGGTCGGGAAACATTTCAGTGATTGTCTTACGTTTAATACCCAGGTCTGTTGCGACCACTGAAGGGTAGTTATCGGCAGTGACTTTTAATTCATTTATTTACGAAAATGATAGAACATTTTCAGAATATATTGTAGTGTGGTTGGAGTTGTCAAACATGCAAAACATACAATGTATCTCGCTAGATAGTCTCAGGGTCATCTTTTATCATACACAGAAATCTTGACACAAACTGACCTTATTAATTCTCTGATACCAAGAGTCGAACCTATGCCTACCAACACAGTATAGTATCACACTATGGCCCATTAATTTGTGTCTTCCCTGTGAAGAGCAGGAATTCTGATTCAGGCACTGTGAACAGGCAAGCTATCTGTCACAGAATCAAATAGTCGAACTCACGTCAACCAACTCTAGAGTGGTGTCGCCAACACTTTCCCAATATACATCCTGATTAAGCGATCACACAAGCAAAGGTAATTATTACATGTATAAGGCACAGATTGAAACATCAGGAATCGAACCCACACCTACCAACACAAGACTGGTATCACCATACTTATATATATAATTACCGACAAACACCTAGCCTGTTAGATTAGGCAATATACTGCATTTGGATTCAGGCCCCTTTGTATAAATTCAGGCCTCCCTGTACAAATCAGGCAGATGCTATCAAGGATACCATTTCTGTGACCTTGACATTGTTCTAGCCATGTCCCCTGTAATCTCTGGCCCAGGGAAGTATTGTAATGACAGGGTAAGTATACAGTCATAGTCCTGTGTGGCTGGATAATATAATTTGACCATCAAGGTCAGCAGCTGGCCAGAGATCTGTCTGATGACCACTAACAGGCTGTACATTAACTGATACAGCCAGCAGATTGATGGTGACCAGCTGACCAAATGATTTCTGTGAAAACACCAGAAGAAGCCTAGCAAAGCCCTGAGGTTGGACTA